TATATGCACAAAAGATTTTGGAAGCGGAGAATTACCTTAGTGGACAGAAACCTTGAGTGGAAGTATAGTTTTGGCCAACCTTCAAGCCTGCTTTTTTCGAAATTTCTGATTTCCTGAATAAGCAAACAAAAACGGGATCCGTTCTAGGTGCTGATGTTAGCCTGTTAAACACACAACTGCACCAAATTTCAGATCAATTCGTTGAGAAGCAGATGAGTTACGGCAGTTTTCAGGGTGGACGTATAGTTTTGGCCAGCACTGTACTAGACACCCCGCTTGCCTCGCTCAATGTGATATTTAGCGCTTAGTGCACAGTTTCCAAAGCTTTGAGAACGATGGTATGACTTTTTCAAATAAAAAGAGACTAGAGTTTATGTTGGTCTTTTCAAGTATTTTCCAGTAGAGGTTAGAATGAGCGATTCAAGAATGCCACACATTTCTTTACTTACCTCCTCTTGTCGTCGTTGTCGCACACTCTTTCATATCACTACCACCAAAATGTCGAGTACCATTATCTAAATTTTCTTTGCACAGTGCTTGTTTGTCAACCCATTGCGTTTCGAAGTGCCTTGAATCCGCCATTTTCAACTCGTTTTAATAACAGAAGGATACCGTTCGTAATAAACGTCACTAGATGCGCCTTTGAATGCTGATTACAAATCTGCTTTAGCTATTTTCTAGATGACTATATGAAATCACTGAGCTCTTTCCGAAGAAATTTTGTACATAACAGCAGAGTCAGACATCAATATCTAGAGTAGTAGTAATTTGGTCAAAATCATCACAGAGTATGTTGTTGTTTAATCTATTTTCATTACTCTGATTGTTAAGAAAACAATGATTCCAACTTGTTACTTTCAAACTCTACATAGTAAACATAGTAAATACCACTCATCTTCTGCCGACCTCCTAGTTCCATCGGTCGTACAGAATCTCGAAATAAACAAGTAAGCAACAGGCTACCGTGATTGTTCCATGGTTATTCCATTTTGTACCAAAGTGAGAGTTTGAAAGTAACAAGTTGGAATCATTGTTTTCTTACCAATCAGAGTAATGAAAATAGCACCTCATCTCATGAGACGCAAACGAAACACATACCTTTATTTAAATGAGAAAGTACCGCTAGCCACTTTTGTATTTTCAATATGATGCGATAGTTTCACACATCAAAAGGAGCGAGGAATATTATTCTATCTATATCCCAGTGGCGTACCGAGGGGGGGGGGGGCGGGGGGGGGCGCGCGCCCCCCCCCGAGAATGGGTCGCGAAATTTTTGAAAGTTACTTATATGGGTTATAAAAATGTGCAAGTGACTTGTTTATTTTTGTAAATAATTAAAATAATTTTCAAAAATTTTTAAAAAATCAAATTAGCCTTGTAAAAAATTTTTTTTCGGGGGCGTGGCTAACGCCACGCCCCCTTTTTCCAGATTTTAGGGGTCGGAGACCCGCAAAAGTTTTGAGAAGCACCCCAAAAAATTTTTCGGAGTGCGTGGCTAACGCCACGCACCTTCTTTAGAAAAAAATTTTTGTCGCGCCCCCCCCCCCGAGCCGAAATCCTGGGTACGCCACTGCTATATCCATACATATATAGGTAAAGCTGAGTGTTGGTAAATTGTTAGTCCACCTCACAAGCTACTTTTCGCGGCGAAAATCCGAGTCTTTCTATTGATTTATCGATGTTAAAGAAAAATAAACTCTTATAAAGTACTATCAAACCGCTTCTGAATTTTGTAAATAGTAACGGTAGAACTCATTTTTATGCAAGATGCTGGAAATGCGGTAATTCACGGTAATGATGTCAGCAGGTAAATCTGGCGTGTGTTACACTAAAAACAAAAGGAAGCCAAGCAGATAAGTTGTGTTCATAAAATTACGCAACAAGTTGTTGAGCCATTTGAGCCCGCGGGGCAGGCGAAGTCGGGCATTCAGCTAGTGTTACTATGAGGAAGCTCGCTTGATCACTGTCCAAGATCATGGGAAAGCGAGCCCAGAGAACGAAATCAAATTTGGTATAGGTAATGAAAGCGGTCAAGCATGAGAGTGATTGGAGGTTTAATCTCCTTCGATGATATTACCTTGCTAAACTCATAATAAAGTGATAACTGTTCACGTTCTGAACAGTTTTGCTTGACTGAAACGGTGCAAATTCTTATGAATAAACTCTCGTAACTTTTCAGGCAATCGCTTAGCAAACAGCGAAAGCAGATTTGAAGTCAGCGCTCAAGGCACATTGAGTTTGTGTCTCACTATAAATGGCCAGTCATCAACTATCCTCCCCTGTAAGAGACATGAGATACGCCTTTGAAAAAAAAAATCACAAAGACAATTTATGTCACAAAAAAATTGAGACTTAATTTCATCGTTACAAGTTTGCATGGTCACTTGCGCATTTTTATGAGTCAGGTAATAACTGCTATAAAAACTTCGCGATCCATTTTTAGGAAGGGGGTCCTTCCTTTTCCTTTGGTACGCCACTGATCACCACTGTCGTTCCAGTCTCAGTGGCTACGCACTACTACAACATATATGCACACACGTATATATACCTGTATACGAACTTACACTTATTGGTTTAAAAACTTTACTCGAAATCGCATCCACTTTTTTCGAGTGAATGAAATAGTTTTTGTGATCCGGCACCTTTTTAATCTCCGAAAACGACTCCATCCGAAACATTAGGCAATAAAATAGTATCACCCACCTCCAGGTTTGAAGATGGATAGGAAATTCCCCTCTACGAGTAGGTTGAAAATTATGGGCGCAAGGCATCAGGAAATTTGCGCTCCATGCGGCAAAAATGGCCTAATGCATTTTACAATCACTGGAGACGGCAGAAGTGCAACATTTCCAGTACAACAAATAAAGGGGCTTTCAATATGCTCAGATAATCGCCGGGGGCAGGCGGTCCGCAAACTCGCGCTTTTCTGTGGTCGTATTCATCAACGAACCCTGAGGGTTAAACTAACCCTGCAGGGTTAATTTAACCCTGAAGAGCGATTAACTCGTATTCATGAAACACAGGTAAGCTTAACCCTGAGGGTTAAATCTAACCTTGAGGGTTAATTTTATCCCGAAAGCGACTAACCCGTATTCATCAACGAATAGTGAGGGTTAAACTAACCCTGGAGGGTTAAACTTACGTGATTCATCAGGGTTTATTTAACCCTAGCTTAGAGCAAGGTTAACTCTACCCTGACACTTCATACAAACATTTACTCGCATCTAATAGTTTTATAAAAAGCGATCAACGAGTATTGTAGTATTCAGTATTAGATTGTTGTTATACTATTTAGGTTCGACTTCGTTTTATGTTCAAATTCGAAGTACATGAAACTGAGTTCGCGAGAAAAAGAATTCTAGCTTTGGTGACAAACGAATGCGACGAGGAAAAATGGTTGCGCATTCTACTTTGACAAGTGCTGAAACAGAAGAACCACTTTATGATAACACGCACTGACCCCTAAAAGAGTAGCACAAGCCCGGTATAAAACGAACTGCGCAAAAGTAGAACTTACACGACACAATTGCACACATGAAAATATACTCACGCTGTAAGTTTGGATGCTGCACAAATATGCTAGAGATGTATTATAAAAACTAGTGTTAGAAGCTTATTCGTTGATTATACTACTATAACAGTGCAAGAATGGAAGTATAAAGTGAATTTAGCACGTACTTAGGATTCTGTGATGTGAGTTTGCACAGCGCACGCGTAACTGACGCTTTTATCCTCAGGGTTAGTTTAACCCTCAGGGTTTATTGGCCGTATTTATCAACCACAGGGTTCGTTGATGATTACGGCCACAGGGTCGTTGATCGATACGGGTGGATTGCGTTCGGTGGCAAACCCTTCCTATGGTTGATGAATACGGCCAATGAACCCTGAGGGTTAAACTAACCCTGGGGGTTAATTTAACCCTCAGGGTTCGTTGATGAATACGGCCACTGCAGGCGGTCAGCAGGATTTCGGGGCGTGGCCAAATCTTCAGCGGGCGGTATTTGCGTTTTCTGCAAGCGGGCATCAATACAAAATTTTCTGCAAGCGCTCGTCAAACAATCTCTTTCAGCGAGCGCTGGCCAAACTTTCAGCAGGCGCTCAGACTCTTTTTACGCAGTTTCGGGCGTACGCCGAGAAAAGATGAGACTCTATGTGGCAGAGGTGCCATCGATGGTTTTATTACCCAAGTTTGGGGTACTTCCTTTCAGCGGAAAGTACCTGAGGGCTGTGCGGTCCTTCAAAAAGGACCGTGCGGCTCCCAATAATTTTGCATGTTCTCGCGGAAAATCCGCGAGAATGCGGCCATTGTGCCGCAACTTATGTATAGAAAAACCGCGATAGATCTTCGAGCGTTCGTCTAAAAATTGGCCAAAATTATTCCAAATTTCTGCAAGCGGACCACAAAAAATCAGCGAACTATTTCTCCGGTGCCCGCTTGCTCAAAATTCGCATGGCCGCTTGCCCCCGGCGATTATCTGAGTGAGTGTCATGGTCGACGTGATTTAGGTCCTTGCGAGTCGCCTCGTTTGGGTCTCTCACGTGGTACAATACCGGCATTCGCTCTTAGCTGCTGTACTTTAATTGAAAACCCTTGTAGATGATTCATCAAATGGAGGGCTAAAGTTTGAGGGGGGAGGGTCGCGAAGCGCGGCTAAAACGTTGCGGAAGACGACTTGTGCAATGGTGATGTGTTATCAATCAATTACCATTTTGAGCAGTTGGCTCAAAGACGTGTGGTTTGTATATCTATGTAGGCCATCAAGACTGGAAGGATATCTCTAATAGGGAATCAAAAAATAATTGGTGGCTCTGACTCCAAATTGCTTCAATTACTTTACCTCCCATGTTGATATAGATTAAGTAAGGTTCAAACATCAATTTTTTTCGCGTAGCTTTCTCTTGATGCACTGTTGTATTCGCTGATTTGTTGCAGGTAGGTGCAAGATCGCAGCTCACGCTTTGTGGAAAATCAAAGCCACCAGTGATCCTCATTGGTCCCCATGACAGACCAATCTGTCACCCTGACAGACCAACTATACCCGTACACATTGTTACTGATTACTTTGATATTCTCATTATATTCTTACTTGGATAGATCTGATGGAATGAACCAATCAGTTGGAAGTTTCCCGTGGCGAAATCTGTCTGAAATGGAGGTTGTGAAGAAGTTCAATAGTGACGTAAGTGAAACTGATACGCACTTTCATATCCTCAAACCTTTGTTCCAGGCACTTCCAAACAGAACTGACACACGAACTGCAGACGAAATGTGTAGCAATTACTCAGATTATCAATGTATACCACCTCTGAGAATATTCGAGGCTAAGTTTCGAGTCGGTACAGAGATTTACTATAGTCTACAGGTTTGGAGATTGATACGTGTTCTTGAACGATCGATGAACTCACGCGTTGGCGATAGATCGCAAAGCCTTTCTTAGAGTGCCTTCATACAGCGCCGGCAGGCGCCGTTAGCAGCCCGTAGCCGCCGCTGGCCTTTCGTTTATAGAAGCCAAAATCATCAGATTCTTACTACTTTTGTGCACGCGCCTACGCTTTCCATCTTCTACGCTTTTTCTTCCTATTGCTGCCAAGTGCAATTCGCCTCTTATACATTACAGAAATATCATGACTTATAATAACGGGCTAAGGGTGTTTACGTGTTTTTGTGTGTGTGTATCTGCCTGTCTGTAACGAAATTTATAGAACGAACCATAGACAAAGTTTCAAGCTGCAATTTTTTGCACAACACGCATTGCCACCATCCAGATTCACCATGCCGAAGCACAAGCGGATCCGTTGAGTTGGTCGCTCAAAAATTGCACGTCGAACGGATCCACCTAGCTTTTGGCGTGCAAAATTGGGTCCGTATCACCACTTGTTGCAAAGTCGTGATTATATTTGGCAAGTGAATGTGCAAGCCATGAAATTTAGCCCAAAAAAGTGACCAAAAGTTTATCACTCTACGAAAACGGCGCCAGAACAAAGTGGTTGTGTGAATGGCGGGTTTGCCACGGTTTTACATGAACCCAGGCAATTTTTGCACAGGGATGTAGTTCACGATGGATATTATCTTCATGGCGACTACCAAGCCATGAAAAAGTTCAAAAGTGCTTTAAATCTGCATTCGATCTGCTATTTCAAAGTTTCATGCACACAAAATACCGATCTCACACGAAAATGCTTTCGGAATGAATAGTTGTTTGCGATTTATTCGTGAAGGCAGGCGTTGCGCGGTAAGTTCCAATGTCATGTTATGCGAGAATGAGTGGGGCATACAGACAGGAGAACCAGTGCGAGCCTCTGCCAAGCAGAGGCGACGCACTGGTTCAAGATAAACCGATAGCCAAGGAAAAGATTGGAGCAGAACCAGACTTAAAAGATAAACAAATAGCACACTCACAGAAACTGGACGCCTCCAAAGTCAGAGGAAATCACACCGCGAAAAACTTTGGCGAACTATGAGACAACTGCAAGAGGAAAACTGAGCACCAATACGATAACCAGTCTACGTCAACATGATTACAACAAATTGGACACAGGTAAAATACATGAGATCGAACAGCATACTGGCGGCAACAGGAAGGGAAAAGCGTGGGGGACGAGCTTGGGCGTGTGTACCCAAGTAGTAAGAATCTGATAATGATCCAATTGCCGCTGAGATGGGTACGGTGTCTTCACTCAGGAGCCAGTAGCGCTCTAGAGGGCAGGAATACGATGTCCGCCAAAATAGCACTTTTTACGTCTGGAAATGCGGATTATTGATATCTTTTGAATGCAAAGCACAGTTTTGGACTTAGCTCATGCAGAGAAATCGAGAACATGAATATCCCATAATTCTGCCGAGCCGCTGCCTTTAACCCAAATTCCTTGTCGATAGCAGTCTTTGTTTACCATGATATGACTGAGTCTGCATGATAAGACCTTCCTCGAAAAGCGGTAGGGGCACGGTACAGAACAAACTAAGCTTGAATTTTGCTGATTCTGACACGGAGTCTCTGAGATGCGAGTCATATTGTAGTATTTCGTACCCAGAGTTGAACAAGAGACACACACGTACGCGCTCCCATTTCTTGGTTTCTATCTCTAATCAAATAGTTTTTCTGCTTACTTGTGATAGTATTGAGACACTGGAAATGACTGAGCTGAGCGTTGAGGTAATGCCTTCTTGTATGGGTCTTTTATGCTCCTGTATGCGCAAGGACCGCAGTCAACTCGTCGTCGCGATTTTAAAAATAGACCATACCTCTTACCTACCGTAATCGTAGGATGGAGGCCCTACCAAAAACATGAAGAATTTCACTTCCGTAACTAGCTTGTCAAATAACCCCCTGGGCCAAGTTAAAGCAAATTCTCCAGATACTAGGCCAACTAAGAGGTCTTCAGATACTAGGCCAACAAAGAAAGATGGTTATTTTCATTTTGTCGACTTTGTTCTAAATAGTTAGCTTCCTCTTTTTGCACTGAATACGAAGCAATAATTCTTACAAGAATTCCACGTAAAACAATTTACTCAGACGAATGACAACAAATCAAATTCAAATCACTTTTGCGAAAACAAAGATTTAAGCTATTGAACCATGTATAAACTGTCTCCCAAAAGTTCACTTATGGAGAATTGAGATAGTGTAATTTTGGTTGGCTCATGATTCCATAGTTTGGTGGTTATTCGAAGTGGGATTATAACGTGGGCAAGGAAGGAGTTGAGTTCTGCATAGATTACAGAGATATAACTCGCTGATAGAGAAAATAACACTCTTCAATAACACTCGGGTGGTGATGCTTCTCTATCATGCTTACCGCACGTATACGGTGATGGACCAATTCTCAATACGCTTGTGTTTTAAATGAGAGGGGTTATCCCATAAAGTTAAGCGAATGTCACCTCACCATTATCACCTATACCAGTGCGCACCTCCGCTTCGCGGAGGTTCGCACTGGCTCCCTATCCGTATACCTTTCTCATGTTCGCATGGGAATGGCTTTGAAACTCACTACGCGATGCTGAGCATCACAAATGGATCGTAAACAACTGTTCATTCATGAAGCATTTCCATGTAAGATCGGTAATTTTGAGAAAAAAACTTTGTTGCAAGGAAACAAATGCGAAATTGAACGGATTACTAATTTATTTTAGTTTGATAATCGTCATAAAGATAATGGTCACCTTGGGCTACAATTCAGTGCAAAAATCTTTTCAGTTTTTTCAAATAAAACCTTGCCAAATCGACTACCTATGCGTTCATCACTTTTTGGCGCTGTTCTCGCAAAAAAGCAAACTTTTTGAGCACTTTTTGGGCTAGAATTCATGGCGCGCAGAGTTACTGACTTTGACTTTATAACTTTGCAAGAAGTCGAAATAGCGACCCAGTTTTGCGTGCCAAAAGGCGCCTAGACCCGTTTGACGCGCAAATTTTGAGGGACCCGCTTATCATATCGGTTCGTCCTTGTGCATGGTGAGCCTACACGCTGGCACGGTATGTTGTGCAAAATTGCAGCCCGATAGCTTAGTTGCAGCTTCCTCTATGAATTTCGTGACAGACAGATTTACAGACAGACACACAAACAAAAAAACAGACGGCCTTAGCGCGTTATTATAGTAGGATATATCACCTATATATATCATCTTATATATAAAGCTGAAAGTCTGTTTGTCTGTCTGTCTGTATATCTGTCTGTGTGTAGGCATGTTCCGAATAGAAAATTCCATTTCTGAACCGATCTGGACCAAACTTGGCACACATACACATCGAGCCCCGGCGGGTGTCACAGGCCACTTTTCGTCATCGATCAATATCGATTTTATCGATTTTTTGCAAAATTTGAGCCACAGTGCTGGGAGTTGGCACAGGGGGGTAATCGAGCATGCTGGTTACGAATATAATAATGACAGGGCCGGGCGGAGCCGGGTAAGTCAACTAGTAACTTATAATAACGGGCTAAGGGTTGTTTACGTTTGTCTGTCTGTCTGTCTGTGTGTGTGTGTGTGAATCTCTGTCTGTCACGAAATTCGTAGAGCGTGTTCCAGCCAACGTCCTGAGCCCAAATTTTGCACAGCGCACGCTACCAGCATGAAAGCTCACTATACAAAAGCATAAGCGGATCCGTTCAGTGGATCCATTGAAAATTGCGCGTCAAACGGATCTACTTGGCTTCTGGCCAGCAAATTTGGGTCCGCAGTACTACTTTTTGCAGAGTTAAGGATATATTTGACAAGCTAATGTTCAAGCCATGGATGTTAGCCTAAAAAAGTAATGAAACGTCTACTACTTTACGGAAACAGCGCCAAGAAGCATTCGCTGTGTGAACGGTCAATTTTTTAAAGATTCTACCTGATCATTTGAGAAGATTTTTGCACAGCGATGTAGCCCACTATGTTTATTGTCTTTACGGCGACTACTAAGCCACAAAAATTTCAAAAACCTACTCGAATTTGCATCTGTTCTTCTGGGAAAGATTTTATCCACGCGAAAATACCGATCTCACATGGAAAACCTCTACGAATGAGTAGTTGTTTACGAATTATTCGTGATAGCCTACATAGCGCGGTGAGTTTCAATGTCATTATTATGCGGGAATAAGTAAGGCATACAGAAAATAGGGCCAGTGCGAGCCTTTGCGAAGCAGAGATGACGCACTGGTATATATTATATGTCACTTCAGCTACGATCATAATCGAGCAAGAGGTGTGGCACACGATCACCGGACGACATCCTCCCCCCCCCCTTTTAATTAAGGCCCACTCTTTGTTCCATCCAAGTTCTTTCATGTCTGCTCTCACTCTCTCCAGACTTCCTGCTCTTGGCTTCTTTCCTGGCACTTCTACTTATATGGCTGATTTGGTTTTGTGGTCCTCTTTTCTTCGCCTTCGTGCTCCATACCATCGAAAGATTTCCTCTTGCATCTTCTACAACCGGTATGGCTTCCAATATGCTTCGTGCAGTTTCGTTCGTGATGTGGTTGGTTGTGACTTTTATAGTACTTCGCCTTCACCTTTCATTAGCCGACCTTTCTCTCATCGTTCTGTGTGCAGGGCCAGCATTTGCTCCCATATAGCTGTCGATATAACATAGACGTCAGTTTTAGCGGTATTCTTCTAGCGCGGACTTCAGTGACTCTTCTCCACTTCGTCTAAGCTGCATTCAATCTAAAGGTTATTTTGTCTTGTAAATTACCATCCGAGGTTGTACGGCTTTCATAGTACTTGAAAGAGGTGGCCTTTTTGATTAGAGTGCCTTCAACTTGAATGGTCCCTAGTGTATGCGCTACCAACTCCATGTACCCCTCTTTGTTTTGTTCAGCTTCAGTTCGTAAAGCTCAGCTAATCTTTCTATGTCTGCACATCTTTTTGGAGTTCATTTCTGCTCCTTCCCATTAAGATCACGTCGCCTGCGTTCATGAAGCCCTCTACGCGGGAAATATGGACGTGAATGTAGTTTGAGCTGTCCCAAGTCACTTCCACTTATGGATTCTATAATGCAGATTTATGGAATAAAAAATTTGTAACTTCTTCCAAGGGCTATCCCTTGAAAATATCGACTTTAGTATGGACGGAGATTGGGTGCATATAGTTGACATTTCTTTCCGATTTCTGATCACAAAAAGTAGAGCAATTCTACATGTGAACGTCTGATGTGGAGATCGCATGCATAATAAGCTAGAGCTCCATAGGACCTTTAGAAAGGGATCCAATCGGTAATTGTACTTCTAGATTAAACTTTGGATTGCACGTCGATCAAAGTTTGCGCAAATTTTTTAAAGTCGAAGTAGGCGCAGTCACAATTATGCGAGCACATCTTTTCATTTAATCCTCATCTATTTGAAATTTTTTCTGATAAAGTCGCTATATCCACATGTACATAGGTTAGGATAGCACCGAAGTACAAAATCTCTACATGCCTGATTCAAAAGTGCATGTCAACTGTGATGCAAGCGATTTTCTGCTTTCTCTCAGATGAGGACGGCTTTCGTCAGAGCGGAAGGAAATTCTTCAGTGAAAGTCAGCACATGAGGTAACTCATACATAGAGGCAGCGTCCAGGCAAATTTGGACATACGGGGTTCTAATGTGGAAAGTAGTTTTGGAGCCCTAACTAAGATACTGCCCGAGCGGCAGCTCAAATGGTGAACTCACAGTTGAGATATTCGCCTCCAAACTGGACCCCGGGATCGTATTAGCATGGATTCATTGCGCGACACGCGTGGGTCCCGCGCGAAACTGATGTGTCGCGCCGTGAATCCATGCGAATACGATCCCGAAGTCCAGTTTGGGGGCGAATATCTCAACTGTGAGCTTACCATTTGAGGTGCCGCTTGGGCAGTGGTTTAGTTAGGGCTCCAAGATTACCCTCCAGGTGAGATCTTCATGGACCCAGATTTGCCTGGACGCTGCCATTAATAACAAATTTACACGTACCCTTTCGATAAGGGGGCGGAAGGGAAAGGGAGTAATCAAAAAAAATCACAGTGTTTAAAAGGGCCATATTCTTCTTCTGTCATACTTCTGTCGAGAAGTAGTAATTCTTGCATTATAGAGTTAACGTAATCACATACAGATCTTGTGCAAATCACTTCAAAGCACCATCGATGCAAAACCTTCTATGGCGTATATACGAGCATAATGAGGATGGCTGGATGCACACTATGGTCATTCGCGATCCTGTAGATCGTTTTCTATCGGGATTCATTGATAAATGCATCAGGTATTACAAACCTCTATAATTGTCGGAGAGCGTAAATATGACATTAATGCGTTCGCAGTCATGTCGCTGAAAGCAGCAAACGAGACTGCTAACTGTGTTCTTCATTACAGGGATCATCTACCAGGGGAGTATTGTAATGGTTGCGAGGCAAATATGACATGCTTCATAATCAAGGAATATGAGAGGATGGTAATAGAGGTAGCTCAACCAAAGTCTTGCAACTTTTCCCAATCGGGATTCTGCTATGGCTTGGAAGATTAAGGAGAATGAGGATAGGACAGGCAGGACATATTGCGATCTCCTTTAGCAAGCCGTAGGCGTAACATGATCCGGATTGAGTCAGAGTTAAGACTCATGAAAAAAATTTCGAAAATCATGGGAGCACAGGTTCGGATCCAACCCACAATCAGTAACACATGGAAAGTTCCAGGTGTTCGTAAAAAATTGATCACGACTATAATATAAATCTTCATAAATTCCTCAGCCATAGATGTCGCGTAAAAAAGACATTTGTTTATTTGGCACAAAATTTTGAACTCTCGCGCTGTGTGACATCGCGTGAGAGCATATTGGTCCTGTTTTAACTTTCTCAGAACGGTGGGGTGTCTGGATGGAAAATTTTCAACAAGGTAGGATTCGATTTTATTGTATTTCTCTGTGATTTTTTCCGAGACTCCATCCAGGGGAAGCAAATACGATATTCTCTTTGCTTTATCCCCAAAACGATGATCAGCCACTCTTACTAGCTGTGCCGGACATTGCATATATAAAGATTGCAATCAGACTCCCCCTTCACGAGTAAACTTCCAGCAGAATTCGAGATTTTTTACTGACAAAAATGTTGCGGAAAGTTATTCTGAGTTTAGGTGAAAAAGGATCGATTTTCGAAGACTCTTGAAGATCAACATTTCTTCCCTCAGAACTGGTTGCTACTAATTCCGCATAAAATCTCTCATGAGCATTTCAAATTTATTTAGGCACTGCCAGCTGTACTATTACCCGCATCGCGTATTTATTCGTTATTCTTCAAATGCTACAGACACAATGCTCGACGATCTTTTCAACGTTTTCAGGATACAAAAGGTAGATTTTGAAGAAGTTCATATATTATATTAGGTTGACAAATAAGTTTTGCAACTTTGCCCATAACTTTTCTCTTTGAATGAAGGCAGTCAATTTCTAATATACTTTGTGATGTAGTATACAAAACTAAAGCGTTCGATTTCCAATCTTATATATAAAGCGTAATGTCTGTTTGTATGTCTGTATGTACGTTTGTATATATGTACGTATGTTTCGAATAGAAATTTTTATTTCTGAAACGATCCGGACCAAACTTTGCACACATACACTTCGGGGACGGGCGGGTGTCATAGGCTACTTTTCGTCATCGATCGATATCGATTTTATTGATCAAAAAGTTCGAGCTGGGCTGGGAATTGGCACAGGGGGGTAAGTGAGCATGCTGATTACGAATATATTATTGACAGGGCTGGGCGGAGCCGGGTTTGCCATCTAGTGATATAATAAGAAGCATCAAAGCTTTTTTTTCCAAGATCTGTTAAAAATCGAAGTTTCACGGTTTTTGAGCAAACGTGGAGCCGCGCACAGCCTGAATCAACTCATAAGGGCGAAGTTATGGGCAGCATGCTGCTGAAGGGCTTAACTCACAAGCAGAGGTGCGATAGGGGGAGCCGGGTCCCCCAAAAGTGAAGGTGGTTTCAGCTACCACTGGCCGGCCAAAAGTGAAGGTGGTAGTGTCGGACACTCACCTCCCAAAAACGTCGACGGGGGGGGGGGGGGGGAGGTGCGGGGGGAGGATAGAACGGACGAACGGAGCTATCTTTCTAGGTCTAACGTCGACCCAACGGCCCTCTTTAGGGCCACAGATACGATGAATATTAAAAATATCTATAAATTTTATTTATAAAAATTTAAAATAGACGTATTTAGTAAATGGTGCATTTGGAAGTAGAAGTTTGTTGGACTGTACGGATTTTATTAAGCAAATTTTGTTATAACGTACAGCGAAGAAAGTAGATCGATCCAGGCAGTAACGGCCGAGAATCAGAATTTCGAATAAATAAATAGTGAAAAATCATGCAAAATTTCCACTGTTATAAATCTGTTGTTTGAAGATGTCAGCAGTTGCGACTTCATAGGTTTTAAAGAGTAAATGTTGCTCTATCAGCTAGTGAAGGAATCTGGTCGATTTAAGAGATAGTCGTTGAAAACCAGAGTTCTAAAACTTTACGCCATTTTTGCGTGTTTTTTGACTGTTGAGAGTTAAACTCTTATAAATCTTGAACGTGGAAGTGTATGATGTTGCGACTTCATAGGTTTTATAGAGTAAGGTTTGCCTTATCAGAATATGTCTTGTCCGTTCCGATCCATTAAAACACCTCCGAGATCCAGAGTCATGAAAAAGCAGGTAAAAAAGAGCTTTTTGAACTTCAACAGCTCATAACTTCTTCAGGATTGCACGAATCATGTTGCGACTTCATAGGTTAGATTCTTCTCGTCAAGAGCTTTCAGACGATATATAATATGTGGGGGTTTCGCGCCTCTTACGGCATATGCCCGGGGGGGGGAGACTTTTTAGGCCAAAGTCTCCCCCGGCAGCCTCCAGCCAATACATTAAATTGGGCGAGGGGGAGACTTTGACCTAAAAAGTCTCCCCCCCCCGGTCATAATTCGCAGGAGGCTCTAAACCCCCACATATTATATATCATCTGAAAGCTCTTGACGAGAAGAATCTAACCTATGAAGTCTCAACATGATTCATGCAGTTCTGAAGAAGCTATGAGCTGTTAAAGTTCAAAAAGCTCTTTTTTACCTGCTTTTTCATGACTCTGGATCTCGGAGGTGTTTCAATGGATCGGAACGGACAAGACATATTCTGATAAGGCAAACCTTACTCTATAAAACCTATGAAGTCGCAACATCATACACTTCCACATTCAAGATTTATAAGAGTTTAACTCTCAACAGTCAAAAAACACGCAAAAATGGCGTAAAGTTTTAGAACTCTGGTTTTCAACGACTATCTCTTAAATCGACCCGATTCCTTCACTAGCTGATAGAGCAACATCTACTCTTCAAAACCTATGAAGTCGCAACTGCTGACATCTTCAAACAACAGATTTATAACAGTGGAAATTTCGCATGATTTTTCACTATTTAAATATTCAAAATTCTGGTTCTCCGCCGTTACTGCCTGGATCGACCTACTTCCTTCGCTATACGTTATAACATAATTTGCTTAATAAAATCCGTACAGTTTTGCTAAGCTTTACTTCCAAATACACCATTTACTAAAAACCTTTATTTTAAATATATATGCCGCCGTATACATAAATATATGCTTTCAATAATCTTTTTTGCGTTTGTTTTGCTTATTTTCCTTCTTTGTCGTCCAGCGAAAAATTTTTTATTCCAAAAGTGAAGGTGGTCACCCCGTACCAGCTCAAAAGTGAAGGTAGGGGGAGACTTGGCTCCCCCTATCGCACCTCTGCTCACAAGGAAAGGATGGTCATTCGAAGTGACCTCTTGCCATGATTTGTATACGATGTTGGAGGGCGTAAAATGCTGATTCCAAATCTGCCCTCCTTATCTGCGGCACATTGCTGGACGAGGAGTTATAAGCGTTTAAAGCAGCAAAAATGAATGTTTTTCTAAGATAAAAACAATCGCCAGCCAAAGTGCGGATAAATCTCACCTAAGAGTGTTTATTTTATAGAGTGCTGGAAAGATCACCACTGGTCCATTTAAGCGCTAAGGAAATTGTTATTACTGTTTTACATTACTTGCATATTCTTTTCTTCTCCAATAAACGCTCATAACTACTCGTACAGGAACACGCCGCAGATAATGAAGACAGATTTGGAACCAGCATTTTATGCCCCCCAAAATGGTACACAACCCATCTCAAAAGGTCACTTCAACCAACCATCATCTCCCTGTCAGTAAAAAAGAAATGAATTTATTGAGATTTGTCGCCTTGTAGAATTTACATACAGTGCTGGACATAATTATACAGCCACTCTAGAAATCGTCGTAATTTTTGTTCTTGTCAATGAATCTGTCTGAAACTTTGCTGTATTGTGCGCATGTCAACCTACCATAACCCCTCAGAACGGCTTCCAGTCTTGTTGAGTTTGAACGGAGAAAAACGAAAAAAATCGAAAAAGCCCTCTTTGAAAGCTGGACAAAATTATACAGCCACCTGGTTTTTCTAATCACTATCGCATTCGTTGACTCTCAAATTTTTTTGTACAATTACATCCCAAAATATGAAACATTTGCGACACTTACAGCCTGTTTTCCTACTCAAATAGAAGCAATCGCTGCATTTCTTGCTTTTAAAAGCATTAAAAGTCAATCTCCTTCAACAAACAACTGCTTTAAAGAGTTTTCAAGCTCTTGTTCATTCCAAATGATAATCATGGAATCTACTGACCCTTCTGGATAGATGAGGTGAAGAGCGCTTTCGTAAACTCTGCGTAATCGCTGATTTTGACGAACAGACTCCAACCTCACCATAGGGTTGACGCACTTTTGCACCACGAAACTCGATTTTCAAGCGACAGAAAATACTGTAATGTAGCCATTACGACAGCCATACAACAGTGAACTCGTGTGCATGACTGGGAAGAAATTTAGGGACTGAGCACTCTGATTCAGCCGCAGTTGACATTCACTGAATGTTGAGTGGAGCACCCTGTATCAAAGCCAACTCAGATCACGAGATAAAACCGGAGACGCTTAAAACTTCAAAATCTTAGCTAATCTCATTCATCGGGTGAAATATGACATGAAACACAGACGGAAATAAGGAGATCTAGGGTTATATCGAATCTTCCGCTCGCAGGGAATTTTTGTGGAAAGTATTCCAGGTCTAAATCGCTACCGCATCATCAGGAAAAATCTGAAAGTTGTTGCGAAAGCTGTATCCCCATGTAGACAATGTGATAAATCAAGTTCAGCCTATGTTGAGGTTGGAGTCTGTCCGTCAAAATCAGCGATTACGCAGAGTAATTGTACAAAAAAATTTGAGAGTCAACGAATGCGATAGTGATTAGAAAAACCAGGTGGCTGTATAATTTTGTCCAGCTTTCAGAGAGGGCTTTTTCGATTTTTTCAATTTTTCTCCGTTCGAAATCAACGGGATTGGAAGCCGTTCGGAAGAGTTATGGTAGGTTTACATGCGCACAACACAGCAAAGTTTCAGACAGATTCATTGACAAGAACAAAAATTACGACGATTTCTAGAGTGGCTGTATAATTATGTCCTGTATTACAGTAGTGAAAGACTCTCGGTGATTCACTCCATATTGCAAATCTAAGCTGATCGTACCTAAAGGTCTTTGAAAGCTTCATCATAAGAGAGATACTAACAATCAAGCAGTAGACAAATTTTTTTGAGACACCCTGTATATGTTTTGAAATGAAGGTGCGTGGTGCAGCCACGCAATCCGAGTCCGAAAAATTTTGCGGGCCCATAACCTCGAAAAACCTGTTTTACAGGCTAACTTGAGTTTTTAAAAATTTTAGAAATTCTTTTAATTATTTGCAAGTATAAAGGTGTCACTTATTCATTTATTAACTATTTCATATGCACATAGGCGTGCTTTCAAAAATCCAACAAAGGACCGCATGATACGAGGTAGAAATAAAGACATAAAGATAGTGACTTGAAAACAAAGTAAGTAAAAAAAAAAACAAACAAAGCAAGTTTTCGTCGACATGGTTGCCGTACAGGCTCAAACAAGTAAATGGCACTAGTGGGAAGCCAAAATGACACATCCACGAGTAAATTCCACAGGTAATGAATCACAACACAACCTACCCTAGCTTGACGTCAGACTTGTAGTGGACAAGCAGCACGGACAAGACGGAGGCCAGGCAAACGGATACACTGGCAGCCCACGCCGACACACCCAGGGGTGCACTTATAGGGGGCCGCCAGCTTACCCGCTCACCGAATCTCCACCCTGCCCATACCACCCGCGCCCCCTCTCTCCCCTCACCTCTACTGGCAAAAAGGACAGAGTTGTGTTACAAATACGATCTTTCAACACGATGGGTGATGTGGAAATCCGGAAGTTTGTCTAACTCGAGCATGTCATTCAAGCTGGCTAGTTAACCGAAACGGACTAAAACGGTAACCGAGCGCTAGTCGAAAAGAAAGTGTCAAGCAGGCTCCACCATTCAATTATGATGTAGAAGAAAAAGGAAGAGGGAAGTGGGACCCTGACAGTTTGTCATGACCATCGCGAAGCAGAAAACAGAGAGTTGTCTTAACAAAATCAAAGTGCAGAATATAGCAGGAAAGCGAGAGCGAAAGTGTGCAGGAAAGTCACTTGGATATTTTTTCATCTCATGTCAGTAACTTTCAAAAGTTTCGAGACCCAAACTCGAGGGGGCGTGGCGTCAGCCAAGCTCCTTTTTACAAGGCTAATTTTAATCTTATATATAAAGCTGAATGTCTGTTTGTCTGTCTGTCTGTATGTCTGTCTGTATGTCTGTCTGTCTGTGTGTACGTATGTTCCGAATAGAAAATTCCATTTCTGAACCGATCCGGACCAAACTTGGCACACATACACTACGGGCCCCGGCGGGTGTCATAGGCTACTTTTCGTCATCGATCGATATCGATTTTATCGATTTTTATCGATTTTTTTGCTGAGTTCACCTACGGGGCTGGGAGTTGGCACAGGGGGTAATCGAGCATGGGGATTCCGAATACAATATTGGTTTTCAGGATTATCGATTACTTTTATCGATTTTATCGATTTTTTTGCAAAGTTTGAGCTACGGGGCTGGGAGTTGGCACAGGGGGGTAATCGAGCATGGGGATTCCGAACACAATATTGGTTTTCAGGATTATCGATTACTTTTATCGATTTTATCGATTTTTTTGCAAAGTTTGAGCTACGGGGCTGGGAGTTCGCACAGGGGGGTAATCGAGCATGGGGATTCCGAATACAATATTGGTTTTCAGGATTATCGATTACTTTTATCGATTTTATCGATTTTTTTGCAAAGTTTGAGCTAGGGGGCTGGGAGTTGGCACAGGGGGGTAATCGAGCATGCTGATCATCCCCAAGGGGGGTGATCAGCATGCTCGAACACCCCTGTGCCAAATTCCAGCCCCCTAGCTCAAATTTTCAAAAAATCGATAAAATCGATAAAAGTAATGGACGATCTTGAAAACTAATATTGTATTCGTAATCTGCATGCTCGATTACCCTCTGTGCAAACTCCCAGCCCCGCAGGTCAAACTTTGCAAAAAAATCGATAAAATCGATAAAAGTAATGGACGATCCTGAAAACTAATATTGTATTCGGAATCCCCATGCTCACTTCCCCCCTGTGCCAACTCCTAGCCCTGTAGGTGAACTCTGCCAAAAAATCGATAAAATCAATAAAAGCAATCGATAATTCTGAAAACTAATATTGTATTCGGAATCCCTATGCTCACTTCCCCCCCTGTGCCAACTCCTAGCCCTGTAGGTGAACTCTGCAAAGAAAATGATAAAAATCGGTAAAATCGACATCGATCGATAACGAAAAGTGGACTGTGACACCCGCCGGGGCCCGAAGTGTATGTGTGCCAAGTTTGGTCCGGATACGGCGGAGCCGGGTAAGCCAGCTAGTTTTCAATAATTTTCAGAAATTATTTTGATTAACATGCTAGTTTGGAATTTTTTAAAATTTCTAAAGAATTTTTGACTGTCTAAAAATAGAAACAAGTCACCTGCACGCTTTTATATATCATGTAGGTGACTTTCAGTTTTGCGACACATTCAGGGGACGGGAAGGTATGAAATGCAAGAAGATGACTCTTGCTTCAATGGATTCTGGTCCAGATCGAAAAAATCTTTTCTCATAAAAGTGTTCCAGATGACCGGAAAATACCCTCATATTAGGTCGTTCCGAAAGTAATGTCGCTTTTTTCGAATGAACGCCACTATTAGTGGAATCAACATTTTCAAGAGATCTTAGAAGCATTCGATGCAGCACTTCATCCTCTTTCTGAAGGTTCTAATTTCGCTGCATAATGCTTAATGAGCTCTCGAAAAATTACCGAAATCTGCGACTCATGCTTTTTGCCATTGTCAAGTTCGGCTATTTTTCTAAATTTTTGTACCTATTCTCCGAAGATGTGCAAGTGACAGATAGATAAAGCAAACCCTATAGGACACAGGATAATTTTTCCTTCTCCTTAGCCTGCTTCTTAGAGTTTCTGGAATCAATTTTTCAATGCTATCAAATTGCATATTTGGTCAACTCAAACCACACAGAACAACAACCGGCAAGCAACTCGGGTGCCATTCGACGCAGCTTCTTCTCCTCTTTCTAGCGATTGTTCTTTGTTTCCGACTCATCAAGTTTTCCGGGATAAAATCATCATAATTCAACTTTTCCAAGGCACCCCAAGGTGTACCCGAGATTTTCGAAAGTTGCTAAACCGAAGCGATGAATGCTCGTTTGGTTTGTAAAATTGTTGCCAAACCATAATCCATCTTTGTAACTTTCAAAATCCGCAGATTTGTTGGCGTTTGATGCACTTTTGTCTGAGACGAGCCTGCTAAAATTCGGTGGTTCATTCAAAAAATCTGTACAAAAATTATGACGAGCTCTGGAAAGTAGAAAAAAGTTGTGCTGTTTCCTGTAGGGTTTGCTCCATCCATCCATTACTTGGACTCCTTCTGAGGTTTGTTATAAAATTTTAGAAAAATTGTGAAACTTGACCATCTTAAAAAGCATAGGTCGCAGATTTTGACTCTTTTCTGGAAGCTCATTGATTCTATTGCAACAGCTTCATAAACATTACAAAGAGAATGAAATGCTGCATCGAATGCTACCAGAATCTCTTACACATCTTTGTTCCACGAGATGTGGCATACGTTTGAAAAAAGCGACATTACTTTCGGAACGACCTAATATAAGCTGTTATAGGTCAAAAATACTACTCTGGACTTTCTACGTCGTGAACTTACTTCAAGCCGAACATCACATAGCACAATACAGTCTGATGCCAGGAAATTTCTTGAAGAACGGTACCCACTATGTATAGAGTACAATCGGAAATGCGGAGAATTTTATTTCAGACTACGTTCAAGCGATTTTCTTATGGAGTACATTGTAAGGATGTTCTATCATGACTTCAGAATATTTCGTTTCAAGTTGCCAGATGGCTTTGTATAATAAAAGTTTTATATCTTCTATTTTTGCAGACACAAAAATGTTGCAATAGTTCTTATTCGTGTTATTTTGTGCTTTAATCATCCATGACTAATTGTACATCAAGAACTTCGAAATAATACATTCGACAAAGTGGTCGCTGAACTGACCTGTTTCGCTTTTTCTTTCCTTTCTCTGTTCTCCTCCATTCCTTCAACGGGCAACTTCGGCATTAAAAACATGCAGATTTCTTTTCTGGGGTATTTCTACGGTTCAAGGCCACGTTTGGTGGCTACACAGACATCAAGTTTGGCTCAGATGGTTGTGATAACATCACTCGCTTGTCGGAAACACGGACCAACCACGTTCATCAGCGCCGAAGTGCGCTTGTTAAACGCCGCGTGTGAAAACCGTGCGCCGTATCTCGCACAGGTGCAAAAACGTTAACATGTGACGAATACTATCCTGTTAAGAGAACATCACAAATATCAGATGCATCCCTGTTGTTTTCGCATCTATATAATTTTTTGAGTAGACTCTCTTCTTCTGCTTGTTATCTATGCCCCATCTATTTAAAAACACTCCGGGCGCCCCCCCCCTCGAGAATGGGCCGAGAAATTTTTAAAACTTACTTATATGGGTTATAAAAATGTGCAAGTGACTTGTCTAATCTTGTAAATAATTTGAATAATTTCTAAACAATTTTAAAAATCCAAATCAGCCTTGTAGAAAAATATTTTTCAGGGGCGTGGCCACCGCCATGCCCCCTTTTCTATTTAGGGGTTATGGGCTCGCAAAAATTTTGAGAAGCACCCCAAAAGTTTTTTCGAAGTGCGTGTCTAAAGCCACGCACCTCCATTCGAAAAAACATTCTTGCCGCCCCTTCCCGGACGGAAATCCTGCGACCGCCACTGATATCTTGATATCATTTCTCCATTGTCATTTCAAGCATAGAATACATTGAATTTTTACGGGCAAACGAGGCAATATAAACTCATCTTTTCAACCCGTTAGACTGATAAAGATTTAATTTTAGCACGAATATGAACAGTGAGCGGTATCCAAAGGCCAAGAAAATTGGAATGATCTAATCCAAAGAAGGCAATTGTCAAAGTCTCTCTCATTCTTGTAAGCTCTGAAGTGCGTAAGGTGCCACCATACTTTGCGTGAATCTTTACTGGTTTAATACAGAAATATACACCCACACAGCAGTATTATAATAATTAAGAATTCGCCAATGAGATAGATTTGCAAATATTAGGTCGTTCCGAAAGTAATGTCGCTTTCTTCAAACGTATGCCACATCTCGTGGAACAAAGCTGTGTAAGAGATTCTGGTAGCATTTGATGCAGCATTTCATTCTCTTTCTAATGGTTATAAAGTTCTTGCAATACGGTAAATGAGCTTCCAGAGAGTCAAAATCTGCGACCTATGCTTTTTGAGATGGCCAAGTTTCACAATTTTTCTAGAATTTTATAACAAACCTCAGAAGGAGTCCAAGTAATGGATGGATGGAGCAAACCCTACAGGAAACAGCACAACTTTTTCCTACTTTCCAGAGCTCGTCATAATTTTTGTACAGATTTTTGATGGAACCACCGAATTTTAGCAGGCTCGTCTCAGACACAAGTGCATCAAACGCCAACAAGTCTTCGGATTTTGAAACTTACAAAGACGGATTATGGTTTGGCAACAATTTTACAAACCAAACGAGCATTAACCGCTTCGGTTTAGCCACTTTCGAAAATTTCGGGTACACCTTGGGGTGCCTTGGAAAAGTTGAATTATGATGTTATCCCGGAAAACTTGATGAATCGGAAACAAAAACGACCTCTAGAAAAAGGAGAAAAAGCTGCATCGAATGGCACCTGAGTCGCTTGTCGGTTGTTGTTCTGTGAGGTTTGACTTGACTAAATGTGGAATTTGATGGCATTGAGAAATTGATTGTAGAAACTCTGAGAAGCAAGCTAAGGAAAAGAAAAAATTACTCTGTGTTCTATAGTGTTGCTATAGAACACAGAGTGATTTTTGCTTGCTTTCTTGCTCTATTTACCTGCCACTTGTACTTTTCCGGAGAAGGTACAAAAATTTAGGAAAATAGCCGAACTTGACCATGGCAAAAAAGCATGAGTCGCAGATTTTGGTAATTTTTCGAGAGCTCATTAACCATTATGCAGTGAAATTAGAACCATTAGAAAGAGGATGAAATGCTGCATCGAATTTCTGCTAAGATCTCTTGAAAATGTTGATTCCACGAATAGTGGCGTTCATTCGAAAAAAAGCGACATTACTTTCGGAACGACCTAATACAACAGAAAAATCCATGAGTAAGGTCTTCATTATCGAGAAAAGTTCACAAAAAATTGGATTTACGATGCTTTTGCTTTTCGTATACGCAGATTCATCTCATGCAAGGTTTTACTTGATTCATGGATTTATACTCGTTATGCTAGTAGTATAAAGCTCGTGATTTAAGAACTCTTCTACAAAAGAGTAGAGTTTTAATAATGTTAAAGCTCTTCAAAGTGAGCCTATTCAAATGAAACGACATGCACTTACAGGATAAAGTACAAATATGTGAAATTATCTAACAAGGAAGGTTGGTCGAAGTGGCCTTTTGAAATGAGATGCATACCGCCTTGTAGGGCTTGGAACGCTGATTCCAAATCTACCTTTGCTATCTGCTGCGGGCTTCTGGGCGAGGAGTTATGAAGTTTTTTGTGGGTAAAAATCTGAATGCAAGAGTAGGCTAAAATCAGTCGTAACATTTTTTGTTGGGCTTAGTTGGTAGTCGGGTCACTCGGTGCAACAAATATTCTTTGATTCAAACATACCAATCCGCTGCTGCCTCATTTGAACATTGGGAAAAGGTTACGACTGATTTTACCCTATTTTTGCATTCAGATTTTTACTCACAAAAACCTTCATAACTCCTCGCCCAGAAGCCCGCAGCAGATAGCAAAGGTAGCTTTGGAATCAGCGTTCCAAGCCCTACAAGGCAGTGTGCATCTCATTTCAAAAGGCCACTTCGACCAACCTTCCTTCCCTTGTAAGTATGATGAGTGCGAGAGGAGAAACGTGGGGGGGGGGGGGAGGGGGAGAGAATTGTGATTGCACTTATCAGAAGCAGGATCCTTTCCTTTACCACGTAGCTCAGAAATATTACCCATCAAAACAGTACCTTAAAATATCTATATTTTCCCTCTAAATGCACATTATTTTTCCGCAGTACAAAACAGACGAATTGACGACTGATAAGTCTTGAAAAATTGACAACATCACTTGAAACATGGATTGCTGATACTGACCCACTTCTTTATATCGTCAACAGAGCGGCTGGGGGTGCCGCTCTTCTCTATATCGCAACCTATTTCATTTGTGGGGCTACTAGCGAATGCGAAAACGACAAGGTTAGTCGATTGTTGCCGATTACCAATGTTTTTTCTCCGGATTACTGAAGCGAAATTGGTGTTTTTCAAAGTGAATCATCTTGACATAGTTTAGTACCTATTTTCCCAATCCAGGCAGTTTTTACTTATTAGTGAAGAGTAAAATTCCCGAAAGATTCTCACAGAAATTCGAGGGCCATTCCTTTTTTTCAAATGCAATAAATGCGTAAAATAAAAATACAAAACCGCCAATTATTATTCTCAATTAATTCTTCGAACCCCTCGAAATCAGACATACTTATTTATACTGAAGAACTTCGGCCTATAAATAACATTGGATCGACTAATTTCTGTGTCTTTTCCATTAACTTCGCAATTTCTCAAAAATTCCTTTGCCGGTTACATTGTCAGCATTCTGAGAAATTTCCTTGGATAAATCTAGATTTCGAAGTCTATGAAATTCTAAGGCCAAAATAAGGGAGTAAAATAATTTTCCATGAAAATAGTTATTTATCGCAGATATTTCAATTCCTCAAAAGATTGTTGAATGAAAAAATTAGCTCTGATTTTTTGTTCCTTCACTTGCTTTTTCTGCATCTATCTACTTCATATGCATTTTCAATCTACATATTTCAGCCATAAGATGTATACTCCTTTCATCGCTAGTGATTTTTATTCTCTGCATGTTACTAATGGCAAGAATGAGCATTTTATCCGGTAATGGTTATTCATTACATCGTTTTCGTGGACAGCTACTCACTCAAACGAAAATTTTTCCACAAGGAGGTGAGACTTCGAGATTTTCTGAGAAACATAGATTTTTTTACACAAAAAACAATCTTTACCGCAATGCATGGGAAGACAGATAAATCGAAAAAAATCGAAAAACTTTGGATTTTACCAAACTTGAATAATGTCGAACTTCAAAAGAAGATAATAATTTTCTGCTGAAAATGAAATTTTTTGTTTTAGGAGGTGATGTGGAGCTCGACCAACCATGGACAATACCCACGCCAGAAACTATTTTTGACATTTCCTATTTCGATAATCCACAACAAAACTACCTCATTAGCAATTTCAGCTATAGCAAAGGCGAGCGCATAAGTATTCAACTTACAATGGACAATATTCCGTAAAATTTCAGGTCTCGGAAATCTTATGTTCCAATATGCTTCGCTGAGAGCAGTTGCGGATGCAAGAAAGGCATCTCTGGTTATTCCGTTCAATAACACTCTGAGGTTCATTTACCCGATTTCTTCGAAGATCTACAACAAAATCATCGTATTATTTTTATTATTAACATATTAATATTGTCTCATCATCACTATTAGTATTGAATTATCATCTTGACTTTTTTAAGTCTTTTTTTTTACTTTTTACTATTTCCTTTGCTTTGAGCACCATTGTTTACACCCAATTATTGTACAAATAAGTAATTAAATTTCTTACTTAAGTATCAAAATATTATTCACAAAATGCCCGTTCTACCGTAAAATTTAGACGTGGTTTTGAGTTGAAAGCTACGTTCGTCAGCGATGATGTAGCAAGCGAACTATTACGAAGAACCGCTAATGAAACTTTTGAAGCAAGGGTAAATGATTTTTTTACACAAGAACTGGTCTTCAGAAAATCTTGCGCGGGACCAGTTCTCGCCACTCAGAATTTTGTCCCTAACGTACAACTTTTTCAGAGTTGCTGCTCATTTGTCGATATACCTGCACCTCATGAGCGTATCTCTGCAGTACTTGGATACATGCAAAATCCACTCTACTTTATGCCTGAGGGTGAGAAGATGGTTCGCAAAGAATTTACATTCTTGGAGGCTGTGCAGAACGAGGTAACTGCTTACATCGAAAAATTATGGTACTATAAAAATTATAGGCAATTTTTGGGTAATTCACGCAACTTACGGGATCTTTTTCTTTTGAAACTGGAGAAAAGCCTAGTTCTTGCCCCTATCATGCAAGATCATCAGTTATTATTTTTTTTTATTTAGGCACTAAATTTTTGCATAACTTATCAAACATACAAAAGAAGTTCTCTTCATAGAAAGTCACTTTTCGCCTGTTATCTTATTGCTGTTTGTTAGCCATCCCAAATTTTTAGGCTCTAAATTTTATGAGAAGCATATCTGCACGAAGAGCCCTGCAACGAGCAGCGCCCCTTATGAAGAGTGGCAATCCTGGTGATGAAGCTTTGGAGATAGATCCTGATGCCTGTGAGTAGAAATTTATGTTCAATTTGCTCATCAAAACAGATTTCAATTGAAACGCTATAATCTGTTGAATTTTTCAATTTCTAGGAGCTAAAATAGTAAATAGTTCCTTTATAAATCTAGAGTCTTAATCTGTAAGTTCGGTCCTTCTGCTCGCTGAATCTCACATACAATGAAGTTTTCTTTACACTATCTCACTTTCTCTCATCCCCTCCCTTTCTTTCTTTCTTTTTTTCTCTCTCCCATCTCTCTATCTCTTTCTGTGTCCAACTCATATCTCTTTGTATCCCTCTCTTTCTTTTCCTCTCAATGAGTATTTTTAGAGCAGCGCTTTTTTTGATCAAATGAAGCCAAAATTCATAGTGCCTTTCTCAGTTTTGGTGATCGAAATTCTGCAAATTTTTTTTCCGAAACGACAAAAAGTGTTATTTAGAAAATAGAATAAAAGAGATGGGCAGATGATTTGACACGTTTCCCATCCTCATAATTACGAAGGTAGCAAAAATTGTTCCTCGGAATCAATTTGACTAGGAACCGAAGAACTTAGACTAAATCCTGCGTCTAAGTAAGATCTATTCAGATTCAGATATATTTTTCAAATTTATTTAGACTCAGATTTATTCAGTAAGATAATTTTATTCGAGTATCAGTGACGAGTTTCTTTAGTATGTAAGTTCTGAATCTCAAAAATGCGGAAAGTCAAAGGAGTAAAACTTTGATAATAATGTGAATAGGAACAAATTTCTTCTTAATCATTTTAGTGTCAGAAGATCTGTACTACATTGGAATACACATAAGACGAGGCATGGACATCAGCATGAATGAAAGAAATCGTCGACATGGACATATAGCTGCTCCCGCAGAGTACTATAAAAAAGCAATGGAAGTTGCCAAGAGTGGAAAAGAAAACGCAAGTTTTGGGTCTCACTAAAATCAAAAAAAAAGTTTTGTAAGATATCACAAAAAATCTGATAACATTTAAAAACAATGACGCAAACAACGCACAAGAGGCTACGTTGCGGTCCTAGGCCACTCTGCAGAAAGACCACGTGGTACGAAGATGCGCAGACTAGTGAAGATGCACGTTGCATTGGGCGCAAGCTGCGCACTTTCTGCGTCTTTGACTCGGCTATGATTCTGTTGATTATAAATCATGGACAAGCAAAATTCATTACTGAATTTTTGAAGATAAAAAAGAAAACTGGTTTAAATAAAAAATCATCCTATCACAGACGTTTTTCAGGTAGTATTTGTGATTTGTTCTGACAACATTTCATGGGCGAGGAATAATCTACCTACTATGGAAAAAGGTAAAGCTACACTCTACCTTCGTCTTTTTCATCTTTTATATTGCATCTACTTGAGGAACCTTCTTTTACTGTCCCGGTCAGCATCGTGAAGTAGATATGACAATACTGACAAATTGTGATGCACTCATTCTCTCTACTGGAACATTCTCATGGTGGAGTGGATTCTTGAACAACAAAGCAGCAACGGTATGATTGAAACTAAAATCCTTACATAATCTGACTAAAGTCCTTTAGTTCTAATAACTTCATACAAGGTTGTTCTCAAAAAATTTTGATATTTTGTTTTCACTTGAATTGCTAAACAGCACTAATTTGCTCAACTATCCACTTTGTAACCATAACGGAAGAACCACATTACCGCATTGATGACCAGCCGAGAGAAAAGCATTTAACCCCAGCGCTGTCATGAAATCAGGCAGTAAATCTTACGGACTGCGTAAGTCCCATCACTGGTTTGTCTTTGCTCTAGACGTTTTCCTGCTAAGATTATAGTATATTTTACTAGTGAAGCAGTAATTAAAGGTGCCAGATTGCATCCGCGCGCTTCGAGACCGCACCGCGGTTTCCCGCTATTGGAAGAACTGAGCTAACGATTCTTTATATATTAGAAATTCATTATTTTTCAAATTTGATCTCTTTGCTCATTTTCAATAAGCTCTGTCTAGATCCAGATAACGGTGCCCACCAATTTTTATTTACCCTAAAATACGTACAATAAGTCCGCCTATCAGATAAGTCCGCCTTATCAGATAAGTCCGCAAAGGAACTAACAGTTAAGTCCGCTTTCTTGACAATGAAAGTCGCCCTCGCGCCGCCAAGAGTCCTGCAGATAAGTCCGCTTTCTCATGCTCAGGATAGGCGAACTTGTCTGCTGCGGACTTATCTGATAGTGGATTTAGGAGGACTTATCTGGTAGACTTTTGGCGGCGCAGAGGGCGTTTTTTCATCGATTTTTCGCGTCGAAACTGCAGATAAGTCCGGACTTATTGTACGGATTTTAGGGTCTCCTTCAAAAATATCCCACTTTGAGGCTTATTAATCAAACAATTCTAGGTGATTTACTATGATGGATGGCCTCGACCAGGATCTGATCTCGAAAAGATGGTGAACAAATCGGAGTTCTTCCCCAGGACTTGGATCCCAATGTCCTAAGGCATTGAATTATGAGCATCTCATTTACGGGAAATGTAATAAAAGAAGACAATAAAACTTTCAAAAATCAGGAAAAGCGTGTTTTCTGAAAGATTGCTTTCGTTTTACTTGAAAGCCTCAACCATAGCAATGCAAAACAATGTCAGAGCACCATTTTTCTAATTACCTATTCGCCTTCTTTCAGTACGAAAAACACACGTCGACGATAAATTACTCAAAGAGATTCCAAATTTAGTGCGCAATGCACAGGCGTCTCACCTGCTCAGAAGAACCTTGCAAACACGAATTTTTGCGCTCTCATTCACTCCTCAGCCCTGTTGTGCCCCAGCGAATGCAATATGAGTGTCAAACTTAAAGTTACTATGCTTTATGAAGCTTCGCAAGCACAATTGGACCTCTTGCCGCGGAGTCGCGTTGCGCGCTGCCGCAAATCGCGCCTGCGTGACAGCGATGTCGAAGACACGCGGCGTCGCAAGTGCGCCAAGCTGCGCGGCATTCTTGGCTGGAGAATCGGAGCTGAGGCTAAAGTTAAGTAGGAGCCTTAAAGTCAAAGAAGTCATCAGTTCTGAAAGACTGCTACATTTGGGAGGGTAAGAGGATTGGCGACATGCCAACCAATAATCCTAAAAGCAATTAGAGGTTTTGTTATATACCGGCTTTGGTAATTTTTAACCTGTGGAACAATCTCTGAAATCTTTCACGCAAGGCTGCGAAAAGAGCAGTTCTACAGTATAATCATACAAAGCATCCTCCCCCCTAAGAGCTAATCATTCTTGGAAAAATTCTGAGTTGCACCTCTATGGTTATTTCAAACTCTTATTGTCAAAACAGTTCCACAATTCTGTAAATGAATATTTCGCTTATAGTTCAAACGGAACAAATATCAGTCATGACTAAACAATACAACTATCCACACTAGAGTAAAAAGCATTAGAGAAAAAAACGAGAATAGTGCAGTTACACAAAACGAGGCAAAAACAATAATAGGACAAATGATAAAAGTGATGATGGCATAAAAAACGGAAAAAATTGACCCGAGATGTTATTAATGCGAAAGATTACGGGGAGAATGCACATCTATCGCATATGAGAAGTGAGAAGCATATCCATCTGGGTGTCGTGAAGAAGGTCTCGAATGGCTTTCTGGACTTTTAAATACTGGATACGATCCTTGTACGCAATTTCTCGCAATGGATGAAGGAGGGAGCGACCTGAAACTCTCATAGTCAAAATAATCAGCAGATCCTTGTGAAAATGCAATGACGCACTCTTTCAGAGCAGAACTTGTAAAATACTCGTTAAAGTTAAGAAAAGTAGTTCATAGAACAACTCACAGAAGGCCATGTACTCATCTTCCTCCTCCGTTTCTTCGGTTGATTGAGGAGCAATGCGTTTCCCACCAACAAGGGAGCCCTTCAAAAATATTTTTCGAAAAAAGGAGACAAAAATTACTGCAAAACTGAATACCAAGGCAGTACCTGAGAAGAACCAGAAACCTCATCGATCCTTCGCTTCTGCACATTTCTATGCACGTTGAATAAGTCATCGAGGAACATTAGAGAACTATAGAATTTCCATTTTGGTGTCACCGGGATGCTGTCGTTATTATAGGAAAGCTGAATATGTATACATGAAAGTGGGATGGAACCGACCGACTGGTACTTACTACCTTCTTTCTTGTCTTGACATAGGTATCTTTGAGATTCTTCCATTGTTTCTCCACTTCCTCAGCTGAAAACTAACCAATTAGAGCTAGAAGGTAAAGCTAGCATAAAAAATTATAATAACAGTACTTTGGCTCATAAGCAATGTGTGTATGAACTTTCAAGAAAGTCAAAGAGCACCTTGTACCTCACCTAGAGAAAATTATTTAAAATATTCGCTGAGATTTTACGAATTTCTTCTCCTCTCGAAAACATCTATGAACGGAAAAGGCACTATTTTCGGAAGTGAAAAAAAGAGAAGATAACTTACGTGTGAGCTCGGGGTCCAGCTGATTCTGCTGATTAATTAGATTCGTCACCTCAACGAAGAGTTCTTTACGTGATGGTCCCACAGTTTTTTCTCTAAGATGATAGCAAGTCACAAAATGAAGCGGAGAGCAAAGGACCAGAAATGAACGACTTACCTCTGACAATCCCAGATACCAGGTCTTAGGTAGACCGCATCAATGATGCTAAAACGGATTTCGTCGGTAATCATGGAGCCATGATGCTGAAAAGTGCTGTTGAAGGCGAAAAAAAAGAGAAAAAATTCTCTGAACCCTTCAGAATTCGTCACCTAAATATTATTCATCACATCCAAGCCTTCCTTAATTATTAGCCTAATTCGGTCCTGTCATGCCTTATCCACATCGCATATATCACTCAAACTATCAACACTGACTGAATTATCGATCCGGTAAACCCTGTGCTCAAATCTAATCTAATATGTACTCTTTGGCTGCGCATCCATAGCTGGGTAAAAGTGCATATCTGTCTGCGATTCCAAAATTCGCACAATTTTGCAGTAGCTCAATACTCATTATTTCATGGTGGCGAGATGCCACTTCATTTTTTCTAGAGGAAAAAATCCAATTGTTTCAATACGTATAACTGCAGCTTTTTTCGACTCCAGAGAACAATCATTGTCCACGACATATGACGTAAGCTAGAATGACAGAATGACACGAGTTCGGAAACAACTCTATAATTCACGGTTCAGTGTTTTTTTTTCGTTTCTTCATTACACTGCGGTAGCCGTGAGATTATTTTTGAACTAAGTGTAGACAATTCGCTTCAAAGAGCACTTTCGCTATGGCAAAAAGATCTTGAGTGTTTTGATCTTCACAATGCTCTCATGAGTTGACATCAAAGCATCCAATCCAAAAAAATCTCTCCCACTGTAATTCTTAGACTGCGGTATTTCCATTGAGTCATTTATGTAGACAATCGTCAGAAGCATTTGACTACAAAAAAAAACGGGCCAGTTCAGCTAACTTTATTAGCCTGCCTTTCCAAGTGGATATGAATAGCGAAATCTGAGAAACTCCTTTCCCGTGTAACTCTCAATGAGGTCCCCTGTAACCCCGAAAAGGTTCGCAATAACCCTCTAAACATATCGACAAGATTAACACTATCACCTAATGGTGTTTGCACTGCTTTGCAAACAAAAAAGTGCAAATTTCCACCCAAATCGATCGAAAGAGTCCCTTCAAACAAAACCGAAAACACAAAAAAATTGCAAAAAAAACCACACCTTGGTGCTGATTTGCACGGGCGTCGTCGCGGTGGGTTGCGGATGTGAGCCAACCCACTGCTGATCGGTTGGATGCAGCGTCTGCAGATTGTGTCCTTCAACAATAGTCGGAGGTTTCTGAAAGAGCTCGTCGTCAGCACGGCTCTTGCTCACCATTGCCGATGGTGAGATAGGGGACCCGGGGCCCTTGGGGTCGTCGCGATTCGAATTCGACAGCACTTGCACAGACAGTTATTGCACAGCTCTAGGGTGCCAACACACGAAGAAGAAGGACAGGGGTCAAACGGGGCCTGAGAGAGACTCGGAACTGACCTCCATGGAACAGCCGATGAGTGTCGCGCAGTGAGGCGGACGCGGCGTCGTGTCGACGTGTGCGGGCCACGCGCGCGGTTCTCATGCGGCGCTGCGGCGTCGCGGTCGCATTCGTCATCGCCACGCGGTCTCGGCGCGCCGTCGACGCGATCAAACATGTCTCGACGGGGATCGACATTTTAAAACTTTCATTTACAAAAACTTCACTTATTTACAATCTTACAAGGTCAAAAGACAAGTTTTATACATGCATTATCGTTCTAATCAGATTCACAAATTCGCACTGGGCATTACCTTACTCGTAAATTTGTCATGGCTTCTATAATTACAAATTCTAAAAATTCGCAATGATAAAGGGGGATGCATTAAAACATACACAGACATAGTTGCAGAGACAGTTAAACACTCAAAATGTGAGAGATTTTACAAGGCAAGTTTGAATGACTTTAAAAATTACAATTAATCTCAAAATTCTACAAAATTATTGATTGAATCTCAGAATTTCAACAAAATCAATAGCAAAAAAACTAGACACTACATCCTAATAAACTAAATATCTTCTTCCAGGCTATCCCTGTAATTATCCCTAGCAGGCCCCAGCAAATTTCCCGAAAATGCGCCCGCGCTAGCCTACGTCTACCCCCCCCCCCCTCTATTGCGTCGGTCGATAATGCAACGGGTGCTCCGACGAGATCATCGGTAGTGAAGGTGAATGCAGATTTACTCGAACAGGAAATCGTTTTCCAGCGATTTCAAGCTCATAGCTGCCTCGATTCAGGAAATCAGCCGATATTCCGAATTCGTTATTCACCACATATGCAGTGCAAACCTGAAATTTTGATCATTAAGTAACCTTGATAATTTTATCCGTTTCTATCGACTTACCTGACATCCAAGTGTGAATCCATATGCTGCCGTTGTTGTTTGACCCACTGGTTTGCCATCTCTATAAAATAACCGATTTTTCGTGAAGAATGAGCTTGTATTTTGGCAAATTGACAACTTTTATTTTTTTTCTCGTTTCAGCAGTAAAATCATACACGTTCTCTCCATAAACGTTTAACATGGAGAATGATTGATATGTTTTCAGAAAACCGCTGCTTTAGTTTTCCGATGCAGCTATAACAGAAAAGGACTGCGGAAGTTTTTTTTCATTAATTTGGTACAATTTTGTTTTACAAATTTTCATGTATCTGTGTAAATATGCACTTATTCTTTCAGAAATTGAAACCTTAGCAAAAGCACTTTCGTTCCATTGTGTCATAATTTGCACATTTTGACTGTCATTGCATAATTTTCCTTGCTGTAAATGTATAAGTAAACTTCTTCTAAAAAAATTCGCTTTTTACAAAAGCCACGTATAATGGTCTAAAAATGCAGTATTTTGTTAGTGTTTGATAACCGGACTTAAGAACAAATTTTTGATAACATGGAGAAAATGGAAATAACTGGAAGAATAAAAGATAATGAAGATTATTCTCATAGCATTTTCTTTTGAATCTTAGGTAAAGGACGGTAAACATCAACGAATGAGTACCAAATCATTGCAACACCGTATTTGATTATTTTCTTCTAATCAATAAGTAGTACTTTCCCAATTTTCCAAGATTTTTTCCAGTTCGATTCCAACTCTAAGACTATTATAAATGGAACAGCTGCTTACCTGAACAAAGTCTCGCCTCCTTGAGGCCATGGGTCAGTCTCCTTGTCGTGCATATCCACCAATAATTGAACAAATCGTTTTGACACACCTCGTTCAATTTGCTTCAACAGTGCTTCTTTGCCGATGAAGTCTTTCTGAAATTGAAATGGGTACTTGAAATTGGATTCCATGAAGATTTGTTCGAATCTATGACTTGTGCTTTACATCACTCCAGAGGAACAACGTAGAATAAAACTCTACAAAGTGATTAAAAGCAGGCAAACTGTCAAAGCTACTACATCTACTAAAAACGATTCGATTAATTCTAGCTGTAATTTGATAGTTGCACATCTGCGTATACAAAGTGGATGTAAGAGAACAGCTGATTAATCGAACGTACTGTGAAGTCAACCCGGAAAGCATGTCGCAATGCTTCATACTCGTCCGGCTGCAATTGATCATATAGTGTCACTGCTTTAACATAGAGAGAACAGTATAAAGAATATGAAAACAAAATCGACTCTAAGTCATCAAGCATTCAATAAAAATAGCTCTTATACATGCAAAAAATCACACTACAGCGCCGGACATACATCACGCGAATTGACCACCTCGGGATTCTTCTTACAACACAACTGTTACGAATCCATTGCATGACGATCATCTTGCATTTCAATGGTGATAGTTTTTCGACACGACTTATCGTGTTCGAAAAACTATCAAAACCGAAGTTCGAGATACTGCTATGCAATGGACTCGTAACAGTTTTCCTGCTGGGAGGATCGCGGGGCAATGAAATCGTGCTGTAGGGCCGGCCCTTATAGACACTTTCACCGCACGGCTACGACAATCCAGGAAGGTCCATGCAAATAGACAAGTAAAAGTTACTAAATCAGTAGATAGAAGAAAATATAGCAAAACAGGGCAGGTCCAAATCAATGGTTAGGCTCGCTAAGTTGTTCTAAGGTGATTGGAATTAATAAGCACAAGCTCTGAATAGCGGGAAGAAAGCTTATTTTTGTAGTTAATAAATCGTTAAGAGAAAAGTATAATCAGCCACTTAGGGCTCAAGCGGACTGGTTCCCGTCAAATTCAAATTGATTGGTGGAACTGCACTATAAATCGCGATTTTTGGATGAAAAACAGCAAATTCGATAGTGAAACGGCTAGTTGGTTTTCTTCAGATTATATTCCTTTTTCGTTCTTCCGCTAGTTGATGGACATTTTTTGAAGTGTCACAGATACAGTGTGATTGCCTCAAAAGGACCAGAACCTTGACGGAATTCGTTCAGCCTGATGTCCGCATTGATATGAGATTGAGTCGAATGCATTAACTCGTCCCAACCCCTCTGAAGCGCATTAGCTTAGCAAAAACAAGCATTGCAGAACATTATCTCTAGCTCAATAAATCCACTATTCCCCTTCGACGCAAAAAAATTGATTGACACTAGCCGTGCGATGAAAAGTGTAGGGTGTCGTCTCTTGAATGTTTTGAACGTACACATGACTAAATGGACGCACCTTGAAGTCGACGCGGAACGACCTTCCACACTCAACAGGTGTAACTGTGGCATCGATATCCTGGCCCCAGTACACGTAGAACTTCTCAATCCGAAGCTGCCGCAGAGTATAGTATCCAGCGTGATGCAGACTGTATTCCTTCCCTGCTTCAACAATCCGCTCGTAAACATTTTGCGCGACCTAAATCGGTATGAGTAGGATAAACAGGAAGCAGATAACAGCTCAAACTGTGACCTCATTCGGGATATATACAACCCATCCAAGTTCTCCACAATGGGTAACACTGATTGCTCGTATGCCCGTCGCCATGCCGATGTTGATTTCCTTAATCACGTTAGTCATCGAAATTGCATTTTCAGAATTTTGCATGCTAGCTATAGTCTACTTCATTGACAGTCTCACAACTCCAGGGGCTCGTGCTCTCGCGGCCACCTCTCATCTTGTGCTGCGTTCGCGAAAGTGTTCTCTGAGCACTTTTTCAGCCTTCAGTCGCTGCTCAAGCGTGGAAAATGCATAGAGATACGTTCGCGAATACAGCGCAAGGCCAGAGCGGGGTGGTCGCGAAAACATGAGCCGCTGGAGCTGTGACGCTGACAATGAGTTAGCCTATACAGAATTCCATGTAACGCATACCTGACATCGGAACGTAGGAAAATCTGTAGTACTCATGGACATCTCTGTCACGTCTGCCATCAGGTATCGCGAAGATGGTCCCACAACATTTAGGGCCGTGTACATTCCAGTCACATCCTAACAGAACATTTATTTCAGATGCTCTAACCTATAGCTATAGCTATACTCTTGGCTGACAATCGCTTAATCATGAAGTCTTTCTTCTGCTATTCAAAAGCACTGTGAAATCTCATATTCGCATGTCCCGCAAAGTTTCAAGAGGTAAATTTCAAAAAGTCAAACAGAAAAATACTCTTAAGAATGAGTACTTATTGTCGCGCAAGCCATAATAAAATCTAGAGCAAACGTAGTCATAAGAAGTCATGCAAAAAAGTAACCAAGAGGCGTATAAAATCAAAAACTATGAAAACAATTACCTGAATATGGACATTAGCATTCATCTTTTTAGCCCAATGCTTCATCCAAGTCATGCATCGTTCCTGTTGTATCGTTGGGGCCACCATAAAATAGCTGCAAATTGAGATAAGATTCGCAAATCACCTCACTGTAGGAAAACAAGGCTCACCTTGTTTCGGACAATCGGCTCAATGTACAATCCGTGACATAGCCACCTTTTGCGTGCTGCATACCAGTGTACACTGTGGTACCTATAGGTCTGTCAATGTTGGCTGAGCAGAGATATTGCAAAAATTTCACGACATCTGGTCCCGTGATGTCATATTTGGTAAAACTACTCATATCAATGAGTCCAACACGTTCACGGCAAGCTTCATATTCAACAGCAACGCTATAATACAATTCTTCAAGACCGAGGGTAAATTATGAGATTCGGGCGCTAACCTGTCAAACCAAATCGGTTTTCCAACTAGAGCATCCTGTCCTTGAAATAGTGCGTTTCGATCTGGCCCGGGAAATTGCACAAACCATAAAGGCCTTTCATAGCTAAAAATAAGAAGACAGGGTTAATTTCCGGGATGAACATGATGACACTACTTACCCCATAATCTCTCCGAATACAGCACCGGCATCTCGAAGATGATGATAAATTGGTGACATGCGAAGATTTCGAGCTGTATGGAATTGATGTGAGTGATACATATTACTGTAGGTCATTGCTGAAAAACTACCAGCTGAAGGAGAGAAACTTTTGCATAATTTCTACAACCACCTGCGATCTCCGGTGCACGCTCCATTAGATACTGCGAATTTGCATGCAATTCTAGAAATCGGCCCACATCCAGGTTTGCTACATCGATTTCTGGGATACCATCACATATCCAGTTGGCCACTAAATCTCCAAGGCCACCAGCTAAAGAAAGGCCTTGACCGTTTAGCCCATTCACTACGTAGTATCCACGAGCCTAGAGTGTAAGGCGGTTATGAGGAGAAAAAAGCGCCGTTAGAAAACAGTGATTTGGCTGAATGGACGCATGAGATTTTAGTGATATTAGGTCAGATCTCTCAAATATAGCGTATCCCCAATCCCATCCTCCAACTCATGCGATAGAACCTCCGAACGCGCTTCAAAGCCCACCAGCCTCGCCCATTTGCGTTAATTGGGAGTCAGTGATGGGCTGAAGCGCGTTTTCAGACATAGCGCATGAATTGAAGGGCGGGATTGGGGATACGCTGTACTTGAGGGATCTCCTACCTGAAGTCTCGGGCATAGTTCATGCGATTTCATCGACTCGGTACTCCCCCAACAAAACAACTATTGCGGATCCTTACCATGCCGACTCTCCTGCATTTCGATTGAGAGAGTAATTAATCATCAAACTTACCGTGACTAAGTATCACAACCGAGTTGCAAGGTAATCGACATGCAATGGAGTCGTAACAGTTGTCTTGTTCCGAGGCCTAATACCATCAAAATCTGACAGAGGTTCATTTTGCAAAGACACTGCCTTTTAACTGCATCTGTATAATTTCCCTAATATATAAGCATAAGAGTATGGTACCTGACTGCTAGCGCCAACCGTAGGTGCTTTATCCGGTGTATACGCTTCCATACCACATATCAAATCTCCATGTTCAATCTCACCAAGCATCGGACATCGATGTAGCAGCTTTTCCAATGAAGTACCTAGAATGGGAATTCAGATCACTAACTGATATGCACTGACTCGTAGCAAATTACACCCTCTTGACTTAAAGCTCAAACTCTCATGACTTCCTCACAAAATATCTGAGTCTGAAGAAATTCGTTTTCGTATTGTTGAATTGAACGCACAATTGTGCGCAACTTTATCGAAAAACATAATCTCACAGTCTCCTCATATCGCAGTCAGCTGCAGTCTCACCTACCAAATAGATCCCAATCACCCTCGGGATGTGTCCAGACACCATGTGCTGCGTTACTCCGTGCTAGTGGTCGTATACCTTCCTCAGTAAAGCCAGCACACAACGTTTTGAATGCAGTAGCACGGATCATTATTTTACCATCAAGATCATTAAAAACTGAAAAACCTCATTCAAAAAGCGTGGGACAAAAACAAAACCAAAACTAAACAAACTTGGCGTTTTGTCGGATACACTGCTTGTGGGTAATTTACTGCTATGTATATAGGTGTATGTGCAAGGATAAGCTGCTGTCTGGACATGGCGGTACGGTAATTGTTTCGTTAGCACTGATCCAGTCCACTAAATTTTAGACCATCATTTCCAGAAGTTGAACCATGAAATGCTCCTACTAACTATGCCGCTAGCGTCAACAAACATTGGTGTTTCTACCAAACCATTTCCAGTGTTGACAGCATACACTTGGCGTTCATCTCCCAGCAACACTTCTTGGACTGCACAATTTTCAAAGACTTGAGCACCTATGGAGATCAATTTTTTGGAAAACACCAAATAAAAATAGCATATGATAATCATACCAGCTAACTGAGCTTGCTTCGCGAGCTCCTGACTCAAAGCGACAGGGTCTAATGCCACATCTTCAGGTGAGAACAGGGCTAGCTCAACGATAAAGATTTATAAGTTACACTGAGTTCACAAAATACCAAGAAAAGTTTATAAAAACATACCAGTATATCTTCAGTTTGAAGAAATGGCCACCTAGCGAGCATCTCGCTAGGACAATCAATCAATTCGATAGCATCATTTTCGATGGCTCCTGAATAGCGATCAAGGACATATAAGAAAGGATGAAACCATACTAGCATACCTCGAGAATACATTCGCCTGAGCATAACCTCGTTAGGTTTGCTTGTAGCGAAGAAGACTCTTCCACATTTAGTAAACTCTAAAACAATCCATTCAACAAAAGGTAAAAGTTCTAAACGATGTTGATAAATGCTGGAACAAACTTACTAAAACGTCCTATTTGAGCAAGTTCTGTATATAAATCCAAAGATTTTCGAGCGAGATGTCGCGTAGTGGCATGCTGGAAGAAAACTGGTGCCGTTACCAGACCGGCGCTAATGCCGGTGGCACCTCCACAACCTACTCTGAAGTAACATTTTGCCATCTCAAAAACGCCGCCTTTCATGGAGAAAGTGTAATAAAACTAAAAGAGAAAAAACTATAACTCACGCATCCTTCTCAAAAAGGCAGACACGTTTTCCTCGTTTAGCAAGATGATAGGCGACTGAGGTACCCGCAATGCCACCTCCACAAACTACCACATCGGCAGAGGATGTATATTTGCTAAGAACATTCGAAATTCGAATTTCCTATTTCGAGTCATTCAACTCACGTTCCAGCGTATCGACAAGATATCAGACACCCTCGACCGGCCCCTCGAACAACCGAAAGCATACAATGCGAAGAGGCGAGAGGAAAACTAGGAATTTCTGAAATTAAAAGGGCTAAATATAGGCGTAATCGGGATTCTTTTTAAGATAAAAAATGAGTATGAAAGCAAAAATCCTGGATAAAGACGCATTCCCTAAACTAGGTAGCGTCCTCCAATTTATCTTCTGAATAGAAATTGGTAAACAAATTGATAAGGCAGCGTTAAATACATGAACATAAAGGCAGAACTCCCATGCATCACCAATATATCAAGATAGTATGCTAAGAAAGCTTTTTGTCGTGTCAAAATTGTTGAGCACACATTGCGTAAAAACTTGTATTGCAACATACATAGAATTATCGTCGACAAAGCATGACAAAAACACCTACAAAACAAAGTGGGGGATGTGAAGAAAGAATATGAGACAAACCCGCATATTAAAGCTTACGAAGAGGTCACATTTGAAACCTGAGCTGAACATTATAGATCAACCTACAGGAATGAAAATTATAAAAAAGAATCTCCAGAACAGCATAACATTATCGATAAACCATTACTAACCGCAAAGAAAAAGAACGGTCAACAGTGAAATCATAAATCTAACAAAGAAAAAAGTCACACAATCGGTAACTCTCTTTCCGCCTCTATCCGTGCCAAAACTAACATTGGGTCCTCTGCTGTGTTCAGACGCCCACTCTAAACATAAACCAGTTCAAATAGCGGAATTTTGATGTATAAGTTTTCGAAAGGTGACCTCTCGAGTTACGTGACGATCTTCATCATCTTGTGTTTTTCGCAAGTCTTCGATCAATTGGAATGCGTCCTGCGCACGACTCAGTTTCGAGTAAATAAAAATTCCAAGGGCCAGAACGGTTCTTCTATATAATTCGTTCGCAGAAGTTGACTCTTGTATCTCCTGGAAAGAAACAGGGCTATCACTAACAGCAGAATTACGAGATATGAGCTGACTTTATATAGTGCCTCAGCCTCGGAGTACTTCCTGTTCGCACAAAGAACTATACATCGATTGATGACAGCCCATATCGGGTACGAGCCACACTCTCCTGCTTGACTTTCGTTAGATTCTACGTTCATCACCTTGAGAGCAATATCGAAAGGACCGGTGGATACCATACACTCCATCTAAACATTATTTATCAACAAAAGTTACGATGATATGGTGATAGAGCTCCCAAAAAGTAGGATTCGCCATTTTCAATACGGTGCGGGTTGCGCCACGCATTCTACCCCATCGAGATACTGCTAAATGTTGCAAACTTTTACTCGACGGATCAGTAACTTAGCGCTTCCCAGAATACTTTGGTACCTATTTGCCAGCCCCAGGGTAGAGGGCTTGGTTGGAAGGGTGGGAAATTAACCTTGGTAGATGACAGTGGTGATGATAAGGGGTGATTTGCAGCGAGAAAACTCCCGTTATCATCTAGCGGTGATGGTAGCATCAGGTAAAGAAAGGCTATCAAGGGTGAGGGACCTGAGGATAAACAAGGCCCGGCTATTGGATAAGGGGAGTATATACCCATTTCGGGCATACGCCGAAAGCATTTTTTGTGTATATGAAGAGGCTACTGAAGTTGGCACTTTTCGATGACTACCGCGGTCACCTGGAAAGGATCAATGCTTTGATTTTCCCCTGGATACACAACAATAGCAGTTGCTTGAGAGGAACAGAAGTGAAAACTCCGAAAAGCTATTCAGATGTACACTAATCCTTTAAAATAATAATAATCGCTATCTCGAAGGCGCGTAATCGGATATAGGTTTCAAAAGTAACCATGATGTATTAGCAAGGTAGGTGCCAGACTTACTCGGTCCATCCGATTCACCCCATTCGCTATCGGTCAGTTCAGTGATCTGACTAGTAGCGAAAAGGTGAATCGGATGAAGCGGTGCAAGGAGATAAGTCTGGTACCCAAAACAACAGCAACCGTTTCTCTTCAAGGATAACAAAACATTCTGAACTTGACGACCATCCGCAGGGAACTTCTTACTTTGAAAATAACAAAAAGAACTAATACTCAATAAGTGAACAGATGAAAACAAAAACCTAAATTGAATTCACACTTACCAAATACATGGAAGCAGTCATACTACAGTTGCCTACGGATTCTTCTTCATCAATCATTTTGTGCGCTAGATCCGCAGCATAACTGAAAGGTCAAATTTATGAGAACACTTGCGAATGGGAGTTGTAGAAACTAGAAGTTCAGTACAAGTGCGGAAAACTAGAAATAATACACAAAACCTTAAATAGCACTTGACGGTCCTAGAAATTGGAGAAGTGAGTTAAAGTAAAAAGGTTGGAAATGGTTGAGCTAAAAGTCGGAATCAGCGTTCATTTCTAAGGAGTTACAAGACGTAGTTTACAACATCGTAAAAAGCAATGCAACTCACTGGTACCGTCTCATTTTCAAGGCCACATAGGCAGCAAGGGAGAGGCTCGTGATCCGCAGCTGTCGGTTTTTTGTTTTATGTGTCAAGGATAATAGTACTCCAGCAATACTTTCCAAGTAGTCTTCCGTAATACCTGCTTGATCAGCTATCCTAGAATCGTGGACAATAACCATGTAGTAAGTAGAGCAAATCCACTAAATCTCACTGCGCATAAAAGGCCGCTGAAGGGCGAGGGCCATCGCTGTGACCTTTCGGTGCGAGGACAGCTCTGCGCGTCCGACCAGAGCCATAGACCTCCACTATTCTTCCTTCGTTGACATTATCCTACAGCAATAGCTCGAGTTTTAAAAATAGAAATGACTAAGTAAAAACAAAAAAATGGAAATGGGGAGAACGAACCCACTCTGTAGTACAGAAGTCGAATACCGATCTCGATTATTCGCACCCAAATCAAAGGCGTATTGCAGAAAAATGGGATAAGTGGCTGTAGACAATGTAGAGCGAGAGAAAAATTTCCTTTACGTTGCTCTGTCACTCCTTTTCGGTACAGAAGGAAAACTTGATCCGCGGTCAACTAGAATCTTAGAAACTATCAATAATGAGAAGGTTTGAATTGTCATAATTTACCGCGGTTTGAATAGTATGTCTAAGGAGATAAGAATTCTTTTGAAAGTAAGCAAGACAAGCAGCAAGACACTTTTTACAGCCTGCAAAGGCGCAAAGAAAAGAGTTAATCATTTCCGAGCTCCAGAGAGAGGAGGAGGAAGTAGAAGTTGAAAAAATATTAATTACAGGTGTGAGGTAAGTAGTTAACATTACATTTACACCAAGAACCATTTCTGACGCATGATGTCAATTGGGTGCCGTGTCGAGGTCTACACAACAGTGGGTTTGAGAGCTTAAATTTTAGAAAAAAAAACACAAAAATGGATAAGTGAACATGCTGATTACAGAATTATTACCAACAGCGCCGGGCAATTTTGGGCAGAGCCGAATTTGCCACCTAGTTATGCATAAAAAGAGCATATTGCGGGTAAAGTATGAACAGCATACTATTTTGTTGCAAAGCAATAATCATGTCATAATTGCTAGGACTGCCCAAAATGCGCTGTTGGCTAACAAAAAAGCGCTTGCATAAGAAAGGTCTAAAGCAAAAAAGAATTCACCAACATATTGATTGAAAAGAATTGATGAATTCAACCAACCTCCTGATTGCGACCTCCATATTTAGGCACTGAAGTGCTGGGCACAGGTGTTGGCATTCAGATTATCTGAAAGATATCGTTACATCAATGGATTTTCTATGTAATTTTTTCCAAACAGAGTGTAAGCTCAGAAACGATACGAAACATACAATATGATGGCATCAAGATCGCGCCGCAAAGGCAACACAGCTCGTTACTCTGCGACGGTCTTCAAATGAAAATAAAATAGACAGAACGAGAGAAATATATTATCCAAGAATAATCTCAACAGGAAATTACACTAACCGAAAAATGCGCCATCGGTTCCCCAAAACACTTTGATACCCCTCCCCCTCCCCCCCCCCCCTTAATTTTTTTCTCCCTAAACCTTCACCATCCATCCAACCAGCATAACCGTCTATAATTGCGCACTTGCTCTACCCTGCAAAAGCCCCATTTTGTCCCCTAAATTAAGCAAAAGAAAAAAGACAGTACAACCTGTTCTTAGAATGACTTACTTTTAGGAAGACATGCCCCAGCTAAGAATAGCCGCATCTTTTGCATATTGCAATTGCAACTGAGTAAACAACACAGCTTTACAACGCTTGACAATCATGTAGACAGCCGCGCTCTGATTCTAATTTCGCGCTCAAAAATGAACGCTAAGATGCGCAGGCGCCGCCACTACGGTGTTATCTTTGTCGATGCCCCAAATTCAGAGCGGCGTGCCTCTCATTTCGCGCTCGCCTCTTGCGTAACTGGCTGGTGTCGTTGTTTGTGTGGTGTTCATTTTCGTTTCACTTACAAAATCGCACATTTTGTAGAAGTTCTCTACTGCAATCATGCGTGAGATCGTGTATGTACAAGCTGGACAGTGTGGAAACCAAATTGGTTCCAAGGTACGGTAGTTTTGATTGTTTACTGATCGTAATTCGGGAGTTTTGAAGTAACTTTTTCCGTTGTCAATGTTGCATTGTGTTGCGATAACCTGAAAATTCAAAAGGCGAGGCTGTAAAAGCACTTCTACTTTTGAATTCGCTGTAGCAGCATGAGTCATCGGCATGTTTGCAGTGCGTTTTTATGCGCAGATCCCCTCAGAAAATGAGAATGCGTTCCATTGAGCATAGAGTCTGGCTTTCTCTCTATCTAAGATCAACTTACAACACTTCATTTTGCAGTTTTGGGAAGTGATCTCTGACGAGCACGGCATTAAGCCTGATGGCACATACCACGGAGAATCTGATTTACAATTAGAACGAATCAATGTGTACTATAATGAAGCACATGGTTAGTCGTATATCCGCTTCGTTGTTTCCCAATGCAGACCCCTTCAGTTTTTATAACTGCCGAAATATCGATCGGGCTCTTTTGCAGCGGCCACGATTACGCAATACCATTGCCGCCGCAGTGGCAGTCGAAATTAATGTGGTCAAACGTGAAAATGTGGTGCTTTCAGGAGGCAAATATGTCCCGCGTGCAGTTCTTGTTGATCTCGAGCCCGGAACTATGGATTCGGTCCGTTCCGGGCCATACGGGCAATTGTTCCGCCCTGATAACTACGTGTTTGGACAGTCTGGCGCAGGAAATAACTGGGCAAAAGGTCACTACACTGAAGGCGCTGAACTTGTCGACAATGTACTAGATGTAGTGCGAAAAGAAGCTGAAGGATGTGACTGTCTGCAGGTAAATTTCCAAGTAGTAGCAGGAAATGGTATGTGAATAGCATAACAAAAGTCATAGAAGGAATATGGACGCTAGTCAAAACAAAGATGGACGTTAATCGGTCGTCCGGGACAGTTTAGTCATGGGTCACCCAACACGCTTTTTTAAAAGTACATCATACTCTTTTCCCACGAAAAGCTATTTTGCGTATTACGGGGTACAGGGGAGGGGTCAAAATCGCAGATTGCTGAAATTTGGTTCACTGAAGTTATTGGTGAAAATCATATTGATTTTGCTCGCTACCGCCTTCTTTTGAGGCTATGCTTTACAATCTTGGGGCCTGGATAACCGAATTGTCCGAAGTTTTTCGTCATCACGGACGGGGAAGGGGCATAGTATCGTTAGTTCTTGTTATTTCGCAGCATATGGCAATCTTTCCACTTCTGACAAGTTTTCTGTAGAAAATATTCTTCAAGGTGTCAAGAACTTTGCTGCTAGGGCTGTAAACCAATCTGTATCTCTTTCAGGGCTTCCAGCTAACTCACTCACTTGGAGGAGGTACCGGATCGGGTATGGGCACTCTCCTCATCTCCAAAATTCGGGAGGAGTATCCTGATAGAATCATGTGCTCGTTCTCCGTTGTTCCCTCACCAAAGGTAATCGAAATTTTCCGTATAGAAAAATTGAGGGATTTTAAAGATGTGAGGGACATGGGCTCCTCCGAGCAGCATAAAAACGCTGGTGCGTTTATAATGTGAAGGACATCGGCATAGTTTTAAACCAGACGACTAGGCACTGAAAAAGTTCCATAAGCTGCGACTAGTCCCTCGCTCCGCAGACGAAATCAATGGGTTATGTCGTTGAAAAGAGTCGGGCAGAGAGGGATTTTGAGGTTGAGTATGCTTAAAAGGGAAGGATATACTAACATAAGCTGGCGTTTGAAGACAAGATATATATTACGAGACGAGTCACTGAACGCTGATTGTAAATCTGCTTTCCTTTTTTACGGAACAACTTTCCTAAATAAGCTATAGGACTTCAAGTCCGATGTCAAGATTCGAGTGGCATAAAGTTACCGAGAAACTGTAAAAAAGATGCCCGAAAGTAGGTAATCAATTCTGTATCAAGCATATTACCTACACGGAAAGAGCACAGGCAGTGGGAGCTTTCATAGTGTTCTTTTGAGTTTTTCGCTATCTTTTCACTTAAATCCTGACAAATCGAGACATTCTCAAGCTTACAATTCTTTCGGAGAGTTGTTAGCAGAAAAGTAAACAGATTTGGAATCAGCATTCCAAAACGGGTCTAGTGGTGCACATCTCATCTTCAATCACCAACTTAAGTTGGTATTCTTCGCTTGTCAGTTCGGCTAGGGGCAAACATCGAATTGCAGGCAGTTGTGCATTGCGAAATTCTATCAGCTGGGAACAGCGCGAAAAGTGCTTGAGCACTAAGGTTTTCTAGGAGGAGGGGGGGGGGTAGTGCGGAGACGTATATGCGTTCAGGGAGTGTCAAGCGCATTGAAACATTACGTAGTAAAGGCTTTTGTAGAACACCATATTCTACTTTTTTATCGATTTTTTTGAATTGCAGAACCTTTCATTGGTTTTTTGTACGGATAAACCTTAGTATAATAACGAATTTTACGTCTGACAAAGCTCTTAATTCCTTCCGGCTGAGAAATGTCAACCCGTTATCTTTTTTGGTGCTGCGAAACGCTAGATTCTGGTATGCTTTCGAATTTTCGCCAGAAGGATTGTCTGTTCTTGCCTGTTCATTGCAAATCAAAGTCAGGCAAAATCTAGGGTAGTTTCGTAGATAGTGGGACGAGATAGCTGCGTTATCTGGATTTAGTAGTGTCAGTGCTGTGAGTGTGATGAGCTATTGGACAATAGAGCGTTCTATTTATAATTGCGAACGTGCAAGCAATGAGGGAGATAGGGCAGTCCCGCGCCTGTGCCTGTTTATTGGCCGTGAAAACGATTTGCAGATTCTTGTGCATGAGGGCGTAAGCCGATTAGCAAACACCTGCGTTTCGGAATTCAATGGATATTTGGGGAAGATATGGAAGTGGGGAGGGGGGAGGATCATGGGGGCTCTATAATGTGAAAATTACATTTTATGGGTATCGTAAAAGGTCTTTATAGGTCTCCGACACCGTTGTGGAGCCGTACAATGCTACCCTATCCGTTCATCAGTTGGTTGAAAATACAGACGAGACTTTCTGTATTGACAATGAAGCTCTTTATGATATTTGCTTCCGCACTTTGAAACTCACGAACCCAACTTATGGAGATCTGAATCATCTTGGTGAGCAATATGCGATTGCTGAGCTTGGTGGAATTTGCTAATTTTTTCAAATATCTAGTGTCTGTAACAATGTCTGGTGTCACTACATGCCTTCGCTTCCCTGGCCAATTGAACGCCGATCTACGTAAACTAGCTGTTAACATGGTTCCATTCCCTCGTCTTCACTTCTTTATGCCTGGCTTTGCTCCCCTCTCTGCTAAAGGCGCTCAGGCTTACCGTGCTCTTACTGTAGCCGAGCTAACTCAACAGGTGCGTCTGCTTATCGTTGTTGATATGTGTTTATTCGTTGTATATTTTACAGATGTTCGATGCCAAAAATATGATGGCCGCTTGCGACCCTCGACATGGACGTTATCTCACCGTCGCAGCCATGTTCCGAGGACGAATGAGCATGAGGGTAAGTGGATGCTTGGTCTTTTAGCACAGCTCGGACGAAATGCTGTATGTCATAGGAGGTAGACGACCAGATGATGTCAGTGCAGAACAAGAACTCCTCATACTTCGTAGAGTGGATTCCGAACAACGTCAAAACCGCTGTATGCGACATTCCGCCGAGAGGACTGAAAATGGCCGCTACCTTCGTTGGAAACTCAACTGCCATCCAAGAGCTGTTCAAGCGCATTTCAGAACAATTCACAGGTTAGTTTGTGCATATTATGGTGAAAGATTAATTGCGATGTTGCAGCTATGTTCCGCCGCAAAGCGTTCTTGCATTGGTACACTGGTGAAGGTATGGACGAGATGGAGTTCACTGAAGCCGAGTCCAACATGAATGATCTCATCTCCGAATACCAGCAATACCAGGTTCGGCTGTTTTTCATAGACACTGTATTGTGCCCATGTAATAATTTTTCTTGTCTAGGAAGCTACCGCTGACGATATGGGCGATCTCGATGCGGAAGGCGCTGAAGAGGCTTACCCTGAAGAATAGACCAGCAGACTGTGTTGCGTTGTTCGTTTCTCTGTGTCAATGCGAAATACACATTGATTGCGTTTCTTGTGTCGTATATGCTTCTGTTTGCATTGCTTTTATAAAAAAGCTATTGTGCCGGTAAATCCTTTTCGCGCGTTGTTTGCTATCTAAACCAGACCTACAGATGACGCTCCATCGTACTTCTGGGCACAAATGGGTCGTTAAATGTAGACGGTGTAATAAATTTGTTGATTCTCTGCTTCGATTACGATTATCAAGCGTTATTATTTTAATTATTTTAATCGGCAGGAGTAGGAGTAGGCATAGGTTTAAATGTCGCAAAGGCATAAGTCGCCCAGAACGATAGCACTTCAGCATTTTTCAAGTTAGGTTCTGCTATTCTATACTGAAGAGCAATGACCGTATTTATCAACGAACCGATCGGTTTCACTCCAGTGGGTCGTAAACAACACTGGGTTCGATATTTATAAAAAGCACTGTTGGGTTCGCGAACTCACTAAAATTCATTTATTGAATCGTGAGGACGGCTTTTGTTGCGGACTTCGCGCTAGCAGGAGCATGAAACGCTCATACAAGAAGGCATCACTTCAGCGTTCAGCTCAGTCACCAGTGCCCAAATATTACCATAAGTAAGCAAAAAACAATTCGATGAGGGACGAAAACCAACAAAGTGCGATTTCCGGAAGTGGCGTGCGTTTCGCGCGCGACCGCGCCATCGCCACGATTTTTCAAATGCGTTTAACTTCGAGAATACCGATCTCGTGAGTTAGGGCTACTCATTGGATAGCGAACCCACTGGGTTCGTTGATGAATACAGGCACAGAACTTCCCTGGTGGCCTCAGGCCAGTACATTGAAATGGGCGAGGTGGAGATTCAGTGATGAAAAGTCTCCAACCCGAGTTAAAGCGCAGGAAGCATCCAACCGCCTCATAATATACATCATCTGAAAGCTATTGAAAAGGAGAATCTGACCTACCTATGGAGTCACAATTCACGATTCATGCAGTTTTGAAAAAGTCATGAGCCGTTGAATTTGAAAAAGCAAATTTTTTACCTGATTTTCAAGGGCTTGAATGTCGGCAGGGTTTCAACGGATGGGTAGGCTAAAACACGCTCTGGCAAGAACCTTACTCTACAAACCTATGGAGTCGCAACATCGCATACTTTCATACTCAAGATTTATAAAAGTTCAGATGTTAGCTGTCATAAGCAATCTAAAATGGCGTAATTTAATTCTAGTTCTCGACAGCCACTTATCAAATCGACCTGATTCTTCAACTATCTGGAACGACACCTACCCTTAAAAACTTATGAAGTCGCAGTTGCTGACATCTCCAAACACCAGACTTATAACAGTGGAAAGTTCGCATGATTTTTCGCCATTTTATCATTCAAAATTCTGGTTCCGGGCGGATACGACATGGATCGATCTGCTTTCTTCGCAGTACGTTATAACAAAATTTACTCAATAAACATGAATGTAGCTGAGTTTCACTTGCAAATACACCATTTGACTAACACGTTTATAAAGTACTAGCTGGCTTACCCGGCTCTGCCCGGCCCGTCAAAAACGATGAAGTTTCCATTTCTATCCCTGTACACCTTTACCTGTGCCCACCTCTATATGCAATTCCCTATTCCCGCTGTGTGAGTAATCAGTATGTTCACCTACCTTCTTCACCAACCCCCAGCCCCGTAGCTCAAACTTTGCAAAAAAAAAACAATAAAATCTATAGAAGTAAGGATAATTCTAAAAACTGATGGCGTTATTCGGCTATCCGGGCCCCAGTGGCGTACCGAGGGGGGGAGGAGGGGGAGGGGCGGAGTGAGGGGGCGCCCCCGCCCGAGAACGGGTCGCGAAATTTTTGAAAGTTACTTACATGGGTTATAAAAATGTGCAAGTGACTTGTATTTTTGTAAACAATTAAAATAGTTTAAAAATTTTTTTTAATAATCCAAATTAGCCTTACAAAAAAAATTTTTTCGGGGGCGTGTTGGGGGCCCGCAAAAATTTTGAGAAGCCCACCCTAAAATTTTTTCGGAGTGCGTGGCTAAAGCCACGCACCTTCATCTGAAAAAAATTTTCGCCGCCCCCCCCCCCCGAGCCGGAATCCTGGGTACCCTACTGCCGGGCCCTAAAATGTTTTTATGGTGTGTCTTGCTCAAGCTCGGTATATGGGGGTTATTCAAGCCGCTGATGACGAATATCATAGTAATTTTGCGTGGTAGCGGGTAAAAATCATGAACCCTCCTGAAACCTTGGCAGGGAATTACCTAAAGTGCTGTTTCAAGAATATCATGCTTATTCCCCAAGATAATGGCATTTCGTGTGGTATAAAAGTTTCCCACGACCGTAATGCTTTCCTTACAGGACCACTGCCGCGCGCGATACACCTTTCGGCGGCTTTTGCCTGAGCAAAAATAGGGGAAGGGAGATTTGCCGCGTGCATTACACTTGGGACAGATATCAGGACGGCGATGGATCAGGATGGCGATGGAGACCGCCATGCTAAACAACCGTTCCCCATTTTGTGAATATCTGATATCTAAATTGCCGGAAAGCGAAAAATGTCCATTCAAACGCTGCAACTCACCATAACTTCACTAATGCTTTATGACGAGCAAGCATCATATTCATAAGCAGTATACTTGTGCGTTACAGGTAAGGTTTCGAGCAAATCTGGAACTTCGACCCATCTACACCCACCGTAACTCAAGATAATGCACTATTGTGCGATATCAGCATGATATCCATGTTCAGGGCGCTAAATGACCACCCTAGACGAAGTTTAAGGCATATCTATGTTTTCGACCCCCTACCTATAACCACCATAACTCTATGAAAAGGTGCCAATATGCAGAGAGAGTATGAAATTCGTAATCAGCATGTCGATTAAGTTCTCTGGACCGAACTCCAGCCGAATTCATGATTTTGACTTCCTACGGTACACCTATCGTAACCACACGGGCGGACGTTCTGCGGAGAAAGTGTGATATCTGTTTTCAGCACGTAAGATAACCCTTATGCAAGAAGTTTGAGCAAGCTCTACGACAAAAAAATTTTGGGGAACGGAAAGCCGAATAGCGCCAAACTAATATTGGAATCGTAATCAGCATGCTCGATTACCTCCCTTTGCAAACTCCCAGCCCCGCAGGTCAAACTTTACACAAAGATCGATAAAATCGATAAAAGTTGTCGATAATGCTGAAAACTAACATGGTATTCGGAATCCTCATGCTCACTCACCCCCTTGTTCCAAATCCCAGCCCCGTAGGTCTCTGCAAAAAAAATCAATAAATCGATATCGATCGATGACGAAAAGTAGCCTATGACACCCGCTGGGGCCCGAAGTGTATGTGTGCCGAGTTTGGTCCGGATCGGTTCAGAAATGGAATTTTCTATTCGGAACATACGTACACACATACATACAGACATACAGACAGACAGACAGACAGACAGACATACATACAAACAGACATTCAGCTTTATATATAAGGTTTATGCCGCTGTGTTTGTGGTATTGTGGCCTTAAAAAGGGCCGCTGGTTCACAGATGTTGGCTCTAAAGAGGACCGTTGGGTCAGAGGTCTTAAATTATTCGAAATCACCACGAAGCTCAGTTCTCCAAAGTCGTAGAGAGTGCTGAGGCGTAGATGCGTCCATGCTGATGTGGCCTTCGGGTGCTCGCAGTAAGCGACGGCGAGCGTTCAGAGAAAAAATTTCAAAATCGAAAAGTAAAGGTGGTCACCCTGTACCAGCTCAAAAGTGAAGGTAGGTGGAGAATCGGCTCCCACTATCACAAGTCTGGTGACGCCTCTCGTACCTGCCTCGGGCGATTGTTGACCGAGGTTTACGCCTACTGCATTCCCCATATCCAAGATATAATCGATTTTGTTTGCGGAAAAGAACTTCATAGCGTTCTTGACTTTAGAAGCGGATTTTTCCAAATTCCATTAGAACCCAAACATAAAGAACGCACTGCGTTCACGTCATTTCTTGGACTTTACCAATTCACTGTAATGGCTCAAGGTTTAGAGCTCCAGGTACATTCCAAAGAGTAGCAAACTCTCTAATTCGTGAACTAAGAGCTGCTGTTTCGCATATTTTGATGACATAATAATTGCACGCCACTCTATCAAAGAACACCTTAGAGATCTCCAAGAAGTTTTCATACGGATTCGAAACTTTGGAATGAAGCTAGCGCCTGAAAAATGCTGTTTTTCAAGAAAGAAGTTCAATATCTTGGAGTCCTAATCAGTAAAAAAGGAACCCGTCTAAACCCTGACAAAATTGCCAGTATAGTAAAAATACCAACGCCAAACGACACAAAAGCTCTCAAATCTTTTCTAGGCGCAGCCTCATACTTTCGACGCTTCATCCCCCGATTTTCTTTCATTGCCACCCCCTCAACAATTTGTTACTATTATAAAAAATATTCCATTCAAATGGACAGACGAACATCAGCAAGTTTTCGAAACCTTGAAACGTGCTCTAGTCAAAGCACCCGTTTTAGTCCCACCAACTTTGAGACAACCTTATGTAATACATACCGACGCTTCCACAATTGAAGTAGGAGCTTGTCTGCTATAAACTAACTTAGACATAAATCTAGAACACCCAATTGCATACTGTAGCCGCCCACTTAAAAAACACGAAAAGAACTACGCTATCATAGAGCTAGAAGCACTAGCTATTGTTTTTGCACTTAAACACTTTTACCCATACGTCGCAAATGCATCCATAACATTGGTTACAGATCATGCTCCTCTCAAATCCTTGATGCACAGAACCGATCTAGTCGGTAGACTAGCTAAATACCTTAGCATTCAAGCCTACGACCTCAAAATTGAATATCGAGCAGGCAAACATAATACGTTGTGTGACTCTTTGAGCCGATACCCGACAGTTACCACGAATGTCGTCCAGATTAACTCCCTAGTTAACATTAATACTTTATCGCCAATCTCAAAATCAATCAAAATATGGCACCTTAATAAAATTTTTTAACGAAGAAAACAACCTCGAGGGAAATCTTCCTATGAATTCTTAAAGGCAGTGGCTCGGCAAATCTCAAACTAGTCAAGTTTTTGCTCACCTGGTTATTCAATACGCTGATCCCGAAAATCCTCTTTAGATTGCTTGAAAACGGCGAAAACCTGCATTTTTCGATGCCCTTCCTTTCGAAGTTGGACGAGTGGAGCAAGGCTGATGACGCTGATTCGTTGCAGAACCCAATGG